ATATATATATTCACTAATATTTCTATTATGTGTTGTTTTCATTCATTTACTCATTACAAACAAAGAAGTACCTACATTGAGCTGCCGTTAACTTTGCTTTTTTACTTCTCATTCTTCTTCTTTTGACTTTAGATTCTCTTTCCTGGTTGCCTAGCCTGTTGTTGTTTATCATATTCTAATTGTGTATTTGTGAATACTCAAATTAAAAATTAAATTTCTATTTTCATTTTTATCACGTCTGCTGACACGTGTAATCCACGCACACATTCACGTGAAAGATCATTCTATTGGTTCGCAGAGCAACGAACGGTTGTTGATCGCTGGTTACTATCATGAAAAGCTAGACGTTATTCAAATTTCGAGTTTTTCGTATATCTTTCTGTTTCAATAATCTTAATTACGTGTTGTATGTGAGTAGCTGTCTCTAGCATATTACGAGCGTTAAAGAAGATTTGAGCAGTCAAAGTTCATTTGCTTTCATCATCATCAGCGAACATCCGCCTTATATGCATTGCATTTAGCATCTCATCTTAACTATATAAATTATAAATAGTTATTAACCATGTGTCAAATAGTAAGCATATTAAGCCAATCATTTGGGTGTGTGTAAGTCATGTCATACATACTGATAAGGAACACTAATTTCGATCGATATCATTATATATTTCCCCTCTGAATGTCTTTTCTTCTTTTTTTCTTCTTTTTATCGGAACAGTTGAATTTTAATCTATTTTGCGAATGTTTTTGTTGCTTATTCATATATTATCATTTTCATCATATGACCGAAGGGCCTCATATTCAGTTTTGAAGTTTAAAAGCAAAAATCGCTTTTGTTTCTTTGTTTGACAGCCTGTAGGAAAAGGGGAAGATAAGCTGTTGAATATTCACATTTTCGAATAGATTATTTTATTGAAAAGAAGGACATTGTCGGTTCTTTTGCAGGTTGTTCATCACAACTGTTTTTTGTCGGCCCATTCGTTGTTTCTTACTCCTTAAAAGTTTACTGACCAATATTGTTGTTGGAATAGAAATGTAACGTCCTTTCTATCTATCTCTCTTTTACTCTTTCTTTCTCTCTCTCTATCTCTCTCTCTATCTATCCATCTTTCTCTCCCTTTCTCTTTCCCTCTTATTTCGTCTTCCCAATCTGTATTGATGTTAATTTAAAACTTATTTTCATAGAGCTCTCTGAAGGAGTGTGTGGCAAAAAAGCAAAAGACGAGAAAGCTGGATGAGAATTTAGGGTAGGAAGACAACGAGATTGGAAGGGACGACAAACGCTTCGAAAGAAAGAGAGAGAGAGAGTAGATGAATTTGAAGAGAAACAAAAGGAAAGAAAAAAAGAGAGAGATTTTTCGAAGATTGAGAGTGTAGAAGTAAGAAGCATACGAAACTATGAGATCTGTCTTCGTTTCAAACTCTGTTGTAAATATGGAGATGCCATCATATAATGAAGGTAATGTTCTTTCTCTTTATTCTGGTAGACTTTATTAGAATTTTAGTTATTTTGAAGAAAAAGTTGAGAGCTTTCCAACAGAGGGCACAAGGCAAAAGACAAGGAATAGATTAAGAAAAAGAAAAAAGAAAGAAAAAGAGAAAGTGGATGGAGGCTGAATGGTGGATTGCTAGAGAGAGACAGCTGGACAGAGATTATGCTCATATGAGAGAACAGATGAGTGGACTGGAAAGACATACAATGGGAGAGAAGAAGCAGGCAGTTAAAAAGAGAGAAAAAGAGGAAAGGGAGAAAAAGAAAAGAGAAGAGAAACATGAACGAGACAGCGAATCGAGGAAATTCGATGAGATAGCAAGAGAAAGGACTTGCAAGGGACTGAATGAAGAGAAAGGGTTTAGAAGCGCGAAGGAAGGTAGTGCGAGACTTTGTTTGAGGGAATTACGAGGGAATGACGAAAGGGTTGAGAAGTTTGAAGAAGTGAATGAAGAGAAGGGGGGGGGAGTGGATGAATTGAGAAGGTAAAGATGCGTTTTATGCGGAGATAGGGTACATAGAATAACATAGAAGAGCAAAAGAGGAATTTGAGAGGAAAATAGATGATAGGGAGAGGAAGAAAACTATCCAAAAAAAGAAGAGAAAGAGAGAGTGTTGAAAATAGAGAGAGAGGAAGAGAATATGTGTTTGTGACAAAAATAGCATGAGAGTCGAGGACGCAGAGAAATGAACGATTTTGTGAAAATGGAGGGGAGGGAAAATAACGAGGGAGTCTTGACAGATATTTAGAAAAAGATGAGGTAGTGCAGCAAGTGAGAGATAACGCGAGAAAAAGAGAAAAAAACGAAGAAGAGAGAAAGAGGGAGAGAAAAAATAGAGAGGGACAATGCAGTAAGAAAGGGAAAGGAAAGGGAAACGAGAAATGAAGGAAGAAGCGGAGAGATACATAAATCGAAGACTCACAAGACAGAGAGCGAAGAGGGTGAAATAAAGAGGGAAGAAGAAGAGAGAGAGAAAAGAGGATTGAAATGGAGGGACATGAGGGAGAGACAGCAAGCAAGGGATGTGAATGAGGGAAACATTTGAAAGGAGGGAAAACTGAGAAAGAATAGGAGAGAAACAAGCGAGGGACGAAAAAAAAAGGAAAAAAAGAAAAAGAAGATGAAAAAAAAATTTCTTCGAAGGAGATGAAAAAGACTATTTTAAAATAGAAAAAGGAATGCAATGTAAAATGAAAATTAATTTTTAAATATTTCAGTTTTGCGATTGGAAGATAAAAGCAGCAGCAACAGCAGCAGCACTAATACATCTCATTTGTGTCGAATCTGTGATGCTCCTTCAAATGGATATCACTTTAATGCTCCATCATGTTCAGCTTGTGCAGCATTTTTTCGGTATTCTCTCTTCTTCTTCTACATATTCCCTCTCTAAGTCCATTACTCATCTTCACTCCTTTCCTTCCCCCCCCGCTCATCCTCTCTCTCTCTCTCTCTCTCTATTCCCCTCTCTCTCTATCTCTTCTACTTTATGGTGTTCTTCGTTCATCTACTACTTCTTCTTCATTCTCGCCTTCATCGTCTTCGTTCACCCCCTCTTAGAAATGGAAAAGAATGAAAAATACCTTAAAGTAACACATATTTATAGAAGAACCGTCACGTTGAACAAAGTCTTCCAATGTTTTCGAAGCCAAGATTGTCATGTACATTTCAGTAACAAAATTTATTTTTTTGAAAAAAATATAAAATGGTCTTCTTATTTGCAGCTCTACGAGTTATATGTCGGGCATGTCGATATAATAAATGTATTTTAATGGGAATGGACAGATTAGGTGAGGCTTATTAACCTCAACCATTCTCAATCTCTTAAAGTGACGAAGAAGGCTGTATTCTTATAATCTTTAGCTGTTCAACCTCGACGAGATTCAAATGCTGGACGAAGAAAAATACTTTATGCGGGTCGTCTACATATTTCCCATAGTCAAACATCTATCAAGTCACCTAATGTAATTCAATCTGTTTCTTTATTTCTGTTTTTTTCTTCAGCTTCTTCTTCAGCTTCTTCTTCTCCTTATATTATCGGGGATGAGGAAGAAGCTTCTGAGAGAAGATGATGAACATGATAGATATGAATAGTGATGAATGCTATTGCAGACAACTATACCTTTGGGCAGTCCTGAAGCTGCTACTGCACCCTATTCTGTGTTTTCTTCATCTGTTATTGGTGATGATGTGCCATCGCCATCTACGTCACTCAGTTATTCATCTGCTGCACAAACTCCTAGCACATCATTTGGGTACGTTTAATTTTAATTAAAAATATCTTATTTCATTTAGTTAAGTTGCACACCCGATAGTGTACTCAATGATTTGCTTCAATTGGAACGTCTTCATAATGAGCGTCGTAAGATTCTGTACTGTGCTCATTCATCCATCTCAAATCTGCTTACCTGCTCACCAACTAATGATATCGTAAGTAATGTGTATAATAACCATATATAGAGTGTTATAAACTATATAAGATCAATTTCATATTATCATCTATATACTTGAAAGACATTCTCATATAATTCCATCTTCCATCTTCCATTTCAGCCATATGACGTCAATGATATGAAGATTTTGACATTCGCCGGCATTTCAAAAGATATTCGAGCTCAAGTTTGTTCATTTTTTTTATTTCCATTTTTCATCTTTCTTCTTTTTTATATATCAAAATAAATATTTATAATATCTATTGTGATGTGTCTTGCAGATTCTCGTCATCTATGAGTGGATGAGAGGATGGCAACACTTTCCCAAACTTGGAACTCAGGATAAAGTCAGAAAAATGATTCTATCTAACTATACGCATAACTAATTGATTATAGAAATGTTTCTTACGACGATGTATACTATATCATACAATATTAGATCCAGCCTATCTAACTATACGTTTAGGACTACCGGAAAGGTATTTGACATACCTGTGTATACCCGTGTTATACTATGCGCATCTACAGATTTGTTATGTTCAATGGCATGTATGTAGGCATTAAAGAAGATTCTGAAGAAGGATGGTTGGATGAAGCTGACTACATATCAGCTGAAATGAAAAAAAAGTTTATATTTCTATCTATTGAAGAAGAGAAAAAAAAAATTAATATTCTTCTTCTTCATTCATTCTTTTTTGCAGATTATATCGACCGTTGCTTAATCGCGTTGTGAACGAAATAGCTTATCCCATGAAAGCTATACAACTCTCATTTACAGAGTTTCTCTTTTTGAAAGCTCTTGTTTCATTCAAAAGTGCAAGTAAGATGAAGAGAAAGATCTAGAGAGAGAGAAAGAGAGAGAGGGAGAGAGGGAATATCATCATCAATCAACATCATTTACAGGTGCTTCTGATATCTCCGCACCAATTAAAGATTTGATGGTTAATCATATAAATATGCTCTTTCGAGCATTACATCATCATTACCTGCTTAAGCTATCAACGCCAGAAGAAATAGCCAAACGAATGGGAAATGTAGTTTTATTAATGAGCAGCGTCTATGTGAGTAATAACATGTTATCTATCTGGCTCTTCATTCAATCCTATTACTCCCTTTCTATCTCTTCCTCTTTCCCTCTGTATGTGTGTGTGTGTGTGTGTGTGTGTGTGTGTGTGAGTCTTGTATCTGTATCTCTCCAAACTATGTTTATATTTGTCTCTAAACCCTCTTCATATACATATAGCATAATTAGCATATTGATTAATCTTATTAGACGATTGCTCACAGCTTTAAGCATTTTCATTTTTATAAGATTGATGACATGTGATGCGGTTGTGCTTGATTGACTCCCCCTCTCTCTCTCTCTGTTCGATATCTCTCTCTCTCTCTTTCTCTTTCTTGTTCTCTTTGATATATACACCTCTTATCATACACTATTCATAGGCTGTCGGTATGGAATGCTTGGAAAGTCATCAAAAAATTCAATTTTTTGATCTTTGGCAATTAGACGATTTATTGTTAAAATTAATTTCTACTCAACATAAATAGAATGTGATTGTTATAGTATTTATACATATAGTTAGCAATTAGACATCTTTATTATACATAAACACACATAGCGGGTATATATATATATATATTATATAATATATATATTAAATGATTTTCTTTTTTCTTTCTTTTTTTTATTCTTAAAAATTCAAATTATGATTATACTAGTCTTAGGCTCATCTTCTTCTCCCTCTCCGTATGTCTCTCGTTAAGGGGATGAAGCGGAAAAAACCATTATTTAAGCTTATGAATGAAAAAATATGTCTGGATGACTTCCATTTCAATTTCCTCTGACTAAAGCAATGAGACCATCTTTGTATGATCCGGAGCAATCTCCCTTGATCATGCTTTCAAGTGATGTTTTATAGAGAGCCTATAAATATATGGATATAATTATATATAGTAACTATATATAGATATACCTGGAAGGCATCTCGAATATCAGCCAAGTCATATTCACAACGAGTTACAACTAAGCGAATCAGATCATTGTCACGTGTTCCAAGACCCTATAAGAGATAACATGTATATATATTCCATATAGTTAGGATACAGTTAATGAAATATTATTTGAAGCAAATATTACCTTCATGCTTTCATGTAAAAGCTTGGCGAAGTAAGCTGGACGTGAGCGTACAACGCTACATACAGCAATGAGACCATCTCTAATATCTCCAGAGAACTCAGCTTCGACAGCCTTCTCGATTGGATGATTGGTGACCTTCTGGTATTCCTCGAATACAAGTCGAAGTTGTTGATAATTCTGGCTGGCGAGAATGGCATTGAAGGTGCTCTCATCAGTTCCAAGCCGTCCTTCACCTGCTTTGTACAACTTTCTGGCGTCCTGAACGATGAACAAATTATTTTTTGTTTTTTTTTGAAGAAAAAAAATATTTGGATAGAAACAATACTCTTACCTGGTTAGCTCTAAGTGGATCCAATGTGTTTCCTTCATCACGTCCTCCAGCACAGAGAGAGATGAGCAAACGCTGAAAAAAGAATGTTGACTAATTGGAAGTACACATGAGATTTCTGTACCTTGAAGCAACCACTTGTTTCTCCGATCAGTTCACTTTCCAATTCTTTTCCGTAAAGCTGCTTGTAAGCAGCACGAACTTCAAGAATTTGTTGATTTGTTCGTGAAGTCATAATTTCAATAAGTACAGATTCCTTGGTACCAAATCCTTCCATGGCTTTGCGAAGCTGCTTAGCATCGTAGATTGCTGGAGGCTCCATAAGAGCCAAAATTAAATCTTCAAAGTCTCCAGATAGTTCAGAGCGTAAATCCTTAAGAAAGTTATATAAGCATTGAATGATGTCAGAAGCTTTCTTACTTTGATAAGATCTTTTCCATACATAACTTTGAAAGCTTTAGAAATCTCCTGTCGTTGCCAGTTGGTACGAGCACAGAGAACCGAGATAACCTTGAAAGAAGAAAAAATATTAGTTTCATAGTTTCATATGAATGATTTACTTTAGAATTATTACATCCTAAGCCTTTCATGGCTTTACGTAAAACCTCAGCATCTTGATTGGCATTGAATGGATTAGCCGGCTTGATTGATCGGTTTCCAATCATCACTGAAAATACAAAAATAGTATTTCGTCGCAAAGTATTATCAATAAAATAAACAAGAGGAAGAGAGAGAGAGAGTTGAAGGTAGAGAGAGAGAGAGAGAGAGAGATGAGGATAGAGAGAGAGAGAAAGAGAGTGAGATATAGAGGGAGATAGGGGGTGAACGAATGGAAGCAAATGAACGTAGCAGATCAACAACAACTGTAATGTTTAGAAAAAAAATGAATAAAAAGGGATAAAAGATGTGAGCCAGATGAACATTAATGACAAAAACATGGTCAGAATGAGCAATGAATGACGGAAGAGAAGAATGTTCATTAGAATATGATGGAAAATTCAAATTCAGAAGACGGTATGCGTCATTTAGTGAATGTGAACATTAGGAAGCGGTTGTTGATGATTAGGCGTCATTTCCATTGTTACCTGTAAGTGCTAATGTTTCATTCGTATCTTTTAATTTCTATCCTCCTCCTTTCGTCTTCGTCTTCTTCTTCTTACTCCCACAAAGAGAGATGAAGGTAGAGAGAGAATATGAGAGAGAGAGAGAGGGGAAGGATGAAGACAAGAGGTGTATATAGGGTAGTGTTGGTGGATGGATGAATGATGGAATGAGAGAAAGAGACAAACCAAAATGGTTATTGAATTAAAAAACTCGCATAAACGATAATCGTCTGCCGTTTTTACAAACTAGTTTTTGAATTTGAACATCAAAAATGTTCTTTTTGAAGAGTAAGGTTAATGTACGTATTGAAGAGATGAGATGGAACAGAAAAGAAACAATGAGAGAGAGAGAGAGAGAATGAGAAAGAGAAAGAAGGAAGGGTCGAGATAAGAAAAAGATATTTCAAACACTTTTTTTTTCTTTTTTTTCTTCTTCTCTATTTACAGGTATGGGGAGATGTGCTACAGAAATCGGAAGATAGAGAATTCAATAATAGAATAATGAAATTGAGTGAAACAAGTCAGCATCATCATCGGCATCATCATCAACGACATCGTGTATGATATCAAGTGCCAGAATAGGATGAAGAGGGGGGGGGGCTATTTCAAAAGCAAATGAAATGTTGTTATGATCTATACACACACACACATATGTATATACATACACTCATACACACGTTTCAGATTCTTTGTGTTGGTGGCGGTGAAGGTGTCGTCCAAATGAATTTTAAAAGGAGAAACGACCAAATCGATTGAACAAACAGAAATGGACAACTTGAAGAAAGTTGAAGAGTCTCTATGTGTGTTGTATGTGTGTGCGTGTGTGTATATGCCGAGGTTCAACGAACAGAAAAAGTAAATAAGTTTCAAAAATAAAGGAAAAAAAAGAATGAATTAAGATAATCAGATGTTTGTATACTTACTTGGTTGCTGGTGACCAGAATTATATGGCTGCTGAGCTGGTGCGGAATATGGAGATTGCTGAGGAGGATAGTATGGTTGCTGAGGAGGATAAGATTGCTGAGGAGCTCCATATCCCTGTCCTTGTGGGGGCTGATAGTTTGGCATTCCCGATGAATATCCATTTCCTCCTGGATAAGGCTGAGATGGATAGCCGCCGCCTGGATAAGGTTGTGATGCATATCCATTTCCTTCATCAATGAAGCCTATTGGTGGTGATGGTCCGCCTTGGCCAGCTGATGGATATGGAGCGGCTCCAGATCCGATGTTAGCTAAAGATTATTCGATAAAAATTGATGATGAATAGAAAAACAATAATATTACCTTGTGGCTGACCGGATTGCGGATAAGGTGATTGCTGAGGATATTGTGATTGTTGAGGATATTGTGATTGCTGGGGATATTGTGATGGATATGATGAACCGTATGATGATTGTGGATAAGCATTATAGCCGCCGGGGTTACCATTACCACCTGACTGTGGATACATGTCGCTAGATGGTGTGGAAGTGGTGTTGTCTTGAGGCTGTGGGTTCTTATTCAGCATCTTATTCATTTGTCCCTCCTACAAAGAGATTATTTTTTTGATAACGCTATAAATGGATCATAAAGCAAACATACCAGGACATCTTTGATTCCGGAAGTTATAAAACCTTTCAAAGACATAGTTGAATATGAAAAGTCTGCAATATGATAATATAATGAAAGATAATAATAATCAGAATGAGCAATAATAGAATCAACGAGCTTCTGAATGGATAAGTGATTTTCAAAACGAAAAATGGCCACGACCTAGGGAGTTAAATAGATTTTGACGAGTGTTGTTCAATTTGATGACTCATCAACATACTACAGACTATGTTATTATATAATAACATTAAGAGAGTACCAGAGAAATAGAGAAAGGAAAACAGAGGCGGTACAACGTTGATCTTTTTGTTTGTTAGTCTCTCATACTTCAGCACTTTATCGCTTAGGACAAAAATACTCGTTATTCTGCTTCTCCGATTCGTTTCATTCTCTACACCTGATATCTTCGTCAACCGTTTTTTGTTCTCTACTCTTTCATGTGTTGTTCTATTTCTGTCATATTGTCTCTATCATCTCTTACTCTCTCTTTCTCTTCTTATCTCTCTCTCTCTCTTCTCTTTTCGTTTTTTTCTTTCGTTTACCTTCACATAATGTTGATCATACGAGAAGATGGTGTCCAAAAGCGATTGTCTTCTTAATTATGAAACTAGAAGACTGGTGACTCATCGTGATGCTATGAATCATTTCGTACATCGCGAAGTACTCACTACGTACTCCTACTCAACGTATTTTTCAATGATGAACGGCTTCACACGTGTTCAACGTGAAACCGTTCATGACGTCATTGAAAGCATACTTTTCAATTTAGAATCAGAAACTGTTACTCATTGTTTTCGCAATCATTTTTTGTGATCCATCCACTTGAAGAATTGCTATCAGAATGACATAGTTATCAAATGTCTCTAGTTCAATAGAAATATTATGAAACTTCATCCATATTGACGGATGATACATACTCTTCCTGTTTTATGAGATCGACATCGACAGAACGCTATGAGCCTTCACGAATGACGTTCCTCTGTCATCCAACATCAATGAGCAATTCAGTTTCTTAATTAAGTGAGGAGTCATTCTTCGTCAACACTAATTTGTAAGAACTTTTAAAAAGTTGATTCAATGTACTCTATCCCAACTTGAACTGGAAGATCAATTCGTAGAAGGAACAATGCTATCCTTAGACGAAAGAATACTACTCATGAGTCCGATGAGGGAGGAATGGGGGTGCAAAGAGGGATAGAACGTTCTGATCAGCTTAACATGGTACGTGAAGATTGTATACACAGTCATGATACAATATATTAAGGGATATGTACTAAATGTGAAAAATATAACATGAAGGGTATCGTTTGTTATCGAATCATCAACCATGATAGGATTATGTGTGGGAGGATTATCAATAGAAAACGTATATGGGGGTTCGTGCGAAGGTTAAGTCTAAGAAGAGAAGAGTTCAAAAATCACAATTCACAAACGAAGGGAAGAAAAAACAAAAATCATCAACATCCTTCTCAATTTCAAGGAAAACCTGACTCAACCTAGCTGAAAATGCAGGTGTCATGTCATGGAACCGTCAAGAATGGTCTTATGTCGCTTGAGCAAACTACAGTCGTGATCAAAACAGTTGTTGTCAACATATTGTTTATGGAACTCAGAGTACTTCTAGCATGGATCGCCTTGATAGGGGTCCATCTTACGTGGAATGAAAGATGAGTTGATTAGCCATTCATATCAGCCAGCAGTAGTATGGGAAGTCAAGTTGTTGAGGTAACAGAACAGCAGAAGCTGTCAAGCAAGAAAAGCAATCAAATCAGCACTGGAATTGCCGACAGCTAAGAGTGAGAACACAGCTCTCCAATATCTCATAGATTTCATATTGGTGTTACTTTCACAGCACAACCAACATTCCATCCTAACAATCTAGAACGGCCGTGATGAGCGTAATCCTTCGATTGCGTTAAATGAAAATGTTTTTAAATGTTTTTATTTTTTTCAAGTTATATTGTGGGTGTCAATGTATTCTATTCATAAATATAACATTGAACAACAAATATGGAACAACAAGTGAATCATTATTTACAACTGGATAGTAACACCGGTGGAATTAGTTCAAATAGTAAATCAAACAGCTAGGATGGTACCACTATCTATAAGTTCGAAAGCATCTGAAAGAATCTCATCAGCAATAAGGCAAAGACAATGATGTCATCTATACCGTTTGGTGGTAACTTTCCGTTTGTTGGAAAGTCTACATATGGACATTTCAAGCTTCCTAATTGATCACATATACAAGCGAAACTTGGACGATCTTTCGCATTTAACTGCCAGCAGGCAGACATGACCGTATAACTGAAAAAGGATAGTTGAGCTTGGAACAAACATCTTATACAGTACATTTCATCTGAGCAGCTAAGCGGCTTCTCTATTCTACTGCCACTCAATAAATATTCTAATAAATCCTTATCACTAATAGTTGGATATGGAAAACCACCCAACGTTACGATTTCCCATAAAACGATGCCGTACGCCTAAAGTACAAATGCTTGTTCGGATACCTTTGAGAGAAAACTAACCCAGACATCACTCTTGGTAGAGTAGAGATTGTCTTTGATTGCTTCAGGGCTCAACCAACGCAGAGGTATCACACCTAATATAAATGAAATTGATGAACATGAGATGCTATTACCTGTACTCATTTTGACGTAAACTCCAGGCCTGGACATACCGAAGTCACTAATCTTCAGCTGCTTGTTCTCCGATACTAATATATTTCGAGCGGCTAAATCTCTATGCGTGATGTTAAGCGATTCAAGATGAGCCTGAAGTTCAACGACTTGTTGTCTTTCAAATGGGTTGATATGAGTTTACCATTCCATAAGCTAGTTGCGCAGCGAACGATTGCAGCTCTGATGGATCGAGTGAGTACTGAAGCTGAGTGTCAGAATCATGGAAGAAACTTCCATGCATTGGTGAAGTCTCATCCAGTCTCAATGAGGTTTTCAGTGTTGTAACCGCCATAGAGAGCTGAACAGCAAAAATGTTAAAAGATAATCATTCGGTATACTTACTTGTTTTCTCAAGTTTTGTAAGTAATGTTTTAAATCTCCGAAAGGTATGTACTCCATGACCATGCATTGGAGATTGTTCTCCTTACAGTAACCATACATGCTGACGATGTTTGGATGTCGTCCAACCTATGCGTCATTAAGTTAAATTCAAAATAGAAGAAGATACTTACTTGTTTCATAATATCCAACTCTCGTTTGAAATCTTCCTTCTCCTCATCGACGGCGTTTGCTTTAAGCTGCTTGATCGCGACTTGTACGGTCATACCCTTAGGACCTTTCATAGTTCCTTTACAGATTATTCCAAAAGCACCTTCTCCTGAAACATTTCACTTCAGAAGAGAAGTTCAGAAGTAATTAGGCTTACCTATTACGGATCCAACCGATACATCCTGGGTGCTTATAATCCATTCTTCTTCTGTCTGGGGAGTTCGGAACTCAATTGGTTGATGGTAAAGAATATTTGTTTCAAGAATGGAATGCCTGTAACAAATTGAATACCCTACTTCGAAGTCATGAGTATACCTTGATCGTGAAAGAGAAAATGGTCCTAAACCAGTCATTTTGTTTCTCCGCTTAATTCGACGATTCTTCAGAATATAATAAATAGCCAAAGTGCATACAGGTGAGAAGAGTGTAACAAGCAATAGTATTATAATGAGAATCAACCCGTCAATCTGTAACACAGAGGATTCATATGGTTTTGATGAGCATCTAAAACCTTCTTAATAGATTGTATAGCATTCAGTACATTCCCATTTGAATTGTCTTCATATTCTTCCACACTAGCTGTGACATACGTAACATTTCCATTTTCTGAAATAGAGTGAAAGATATGTGAGCGGAAGGCATTGGGCCACATACCTAAGACAACGTTTACACCACTTCCTTCTGGTAATGGGCTTAACACTTGCCCCAGCCAGACATCTTCAGTTTTCGACGTGTGGAATAGAGTTGTCACATCATCCGTATGACAAAATTGATCATCTTCTATGAATATGGAGAGTTTATATTCTTCTCCTCGGCGAAGTAGATGCTGCCAAGTAATACTATAAGAGGTAGCATTGTCCTGCAAATACGTAAAGCTTGATAGAGTTTCATGGCTTTTAACATACAGGCCCTTGTAACTCATACTCTCCATTATCTGCTATTCGATATCGAAAAGCCGTAGGATCTCGAAACTTCAGAGGAGATTGAAAACTGAAAGGGGAACAATGAAATGAAGCAAAATCACGTAGAACATGTCTATCCCTCGCATAGACACTTGTTATCAATACTCAAGTACTTTGATATTAAAAATAATCGAATAATAAGTATCTTCCAATGTCATTCAAATATATTTTTCTTTCAAATTTTGAAAAGTACACTGACCGTTCATGTAAGGTGAGATAAAATTTGTAACGATGACCCTGTGAAGGATTGTGTTTCCATTCAACCAAAATTCCTGCTCGTGTCTCTTGAGCCGTCAAATCCATAACATTGGGTATTGATGTGGCTGCAAATGATCAAATCATCTTAAAATTGAAATGTTTTCAATGTTTTCACACAGTTTGTCAGCTCATTATCATATACAATAGATTGTTTTTAATTAAATTTAACAGATAGTTTACTCATCTGAATACGCATATTTTCTATGTGGAACAGGCGTTGATGAGCATTGTAGCCATCAATCACTGCCCCTCCTAGTCTAACCTTTTCTCTCTTTTGGATCACAGAAACATTAAATATCATATGGCTAGCCATATATCTACTATAGTTGGAGAATTGCGATCAGTTGTCATCATTGAATGAAACATTTCAATTCTCTTACATGCTTGCTCTTGCTTAACACGATAAAGTAGTTATCAAACAAGATAGAAGATGATCATGTTTGAGAGATCAAAGAGGATAGATGAGATAAGATGAAAAGATGAATTTTAGAAACTTACAGACGCATTTACAGTAGGAATCTATGCATTGAGGTACTGTATGGATTAAGCTGATCATATGATCTGCATCACCATACCGATATGGCTTTGAATACATTTCCAATTGATAACTACAATCATGATTTATGATCAAAGGTAGATTGTTGAACAGCGCTGGTATTGTATGCTCTCGTTCATACTGCAACAAACAAGAATATTTATTTCATAAGAAGAGTATTCACAAAGTAAAGTAGAATGAAGCAGAATGAAAAATATCAAAAAAACCAACCAAAGGTATAGATGAGATGAAATATCCAGGGAAATCTTTCTCACAATGGCCATCTTCTAGAGCTGTATAACGAAGATAGAAGCCAGATCTTTCAGGATCTGATCAAGTTGATGATATTGTTGACAGGATGTATGAAGAACAACAAACCTGGTGATGCAAACCATTTGATAGTAGTTTCTAAGAATTTTCCATTATCTATAACGATAGTTGTGTTGATGGATACATTCGTCGGAGGTGAAGGATAATCTGTATAGAATATATGGATGAAGATGTAAACGTATGAAGAAGCTTACATGAATAGTCAGGCACATTATCTGTTCGAGGCGTTTTAGAGCATTTCCTAATACATTTATCAAATAAGGTATTATCCTCTATAGGATTGCATTGATCAATACAATCAGATCTTTGTAATGCAAAAGCATTTGATAGCAATAGAAGAATGACTATGAGAATACTTATAACCATGTTAGATTGTTGTTAAGAACACCATCATTACGGCTAGCAAAGACAATTCTTCTGATTTGACTTTTATAAAAATGAAAATCTTTATTTCTGCTGATGTATTTCTGAAAATAAACGAAAAACTAATTGTGAATAGATACAACGGTAGCTATGAAAACATTGAATACTATAAACATGCGGTGATTAAAGGACGATGAGCTGAAATAAAACGGTGTTAAGGGAGATAAAAGAAAAAACTTTTCTTAAAAAAGAGCAAGAGAGAGAGAAATAGATAGAGAGATAGAGAGAGAGGGAGATCGATTAAATGACTGCCCTGTAATGAAGATCATCTAGGACAAAGGAAGCCGGAGCACAGTGACAACTGTGGCCAAGGTGTCCACTACCACTTTTTGTCCGATTTTCTTCGCATTGATTCTTCTCCAGTTCATCCCATTTTCTCTGAAGTTCATAAGCCTGATCGAACAGCTGTTCGATAACTAGCATAGTTTAAAGATACTCAATTCCTACCAACAGCTCAGAGATTATTAACGTGTTAGAGAGAAAAAGAAAACAGAAGAGAAGAAAAGAGACAGAGAACTTGAATGAGGAAGAGAATTACCTGTTGAGAAGCAGAGATTAACAGTCATATGTTCATCTTAACAAATGAGCTGCACATGAAAACTCATCCACGTTTTGGCAGAATAAAATCTCCACTCTCATCTGATCAATTGAATTGTACTAATCATATCTTTCTATTTTACAATATTATAAATAACTGGACGTTACAAATTGAAGAAAAGTACGAACAGATCCTGGGTTAGTACATTGCGTCGTTTATTTCTCAAAAATATGTCGTCAACTCACACTTTTTGTCTCCAAAGTGAAAAACCTGATCTCAAGAAACTGCAATTACAAGTCACAATTAGCATATCACATCATATCCGCTAAGCCTATTGTTTTGTTTAATTAATTGATCATGAATACCGTATTGAACCTGAGGCGCTTAATTCATACGCAAACTTGCGTGAACTATAACGCGACAGTCAGAAGTTATGTTTAATTGAGTGAGCTAGGTGACTTCTGAAGGGAAGAAGAAGGGATCGTTAACTGTGAACATTTGTGGCTTAAGAAGCTCGATTAGTTAAGAGGTAGCACAAGTTATTTATAACAGTTACAGATCGTATTGGTAGATATACGCCTCAAAAATGTCGTTGTTGAATTTTTCTCCTTTGGATGTACATGGCAGGCCGTATGCTATACAGGAATTCAATGGAAAAATCACTACAGGATCCTCAGAGGATTTTCACAACGCTCAGAAAAGTGAAGTAGTAAGTCATGTAACTCGAGTGACATGAAAAATACACTTCGCCAGTTATCCATGTATCCTATGATTGACAAATCGAAGTTGAACGCTCTTCAACATTGCATAGCTCGAGATGAAGTTCAGAATTTATATACTCAAAATGAAGAGAAGAATAGTGGGGTTTATCAAGCTTGGAACATTTGGTAACCTTTTAAAAAGCAATTTGTTTACATTTCATAATTCAGGAATCAAGAAGGGATTACAGGTGTTGTCGAGCATGTAACGAGTGCTACAGAAACTACAAATCTTTGGCCTATCGCCAAATTAGGTTAGTCAACACTATGATAAAAGTTCAAGATAAATTTCCAGGTAAAGGAATAATAAAAGTGAGGAACGGCGTTTCTTATCTAGCTTCCAAAGTTTTATCATCTCTTCCACAAGATGAACTGGATAATTTGCTCCAAACCTACGGTCATACCTTAGATTGGTCAAAATGCAGTTTTGAAAATGGATGACTTTAAACTTATAGGAAAGACAATTGGATCAGATGCATGGCTTTCCATGAAAGTGGTAAACGTTTAGCAGTTTGCCAGCGTTCTGATTATATACGGGTTTACACAATTATAAATAATAATGAAAATGTAGCTCCTCTAACTTTAAAACATCCGTCTCAGAAAAACGTCTCTTGCATGTCTTGGCAGTTGAGTCTTTGATCAGTTTGGAGTTATTATGTATCTCTTCAGGATGTTTGATCACAGAGTTCTAGCCGTCGGCGCTGGTGATGCTATTTTAATTTGGCGATTGGTCAACAAGACTTTCACCTCAAAGTACAGCGTTCATCTTTGACTCATCAAAAATAATTCATATTCAGACCTTCTGGTCAATGTGCTCAAGTAATAGATTTATCGATAGGACCTATATCACAGATAGTCTGGGATAGAACTTCTAGTAGTAGCTTATTCGCAGTTTCGCCAAATCACAACAAAATTATGGTTTCCCAGTTCTAGTTTAACATACAAACCCGATAAACTTAAGATCGTCGATTCTATAAGTGGAGAAGTTGATTCAGTTGGAGCTTGGACAGGAGGCTGCATCACTAGAATTGTTCCTACTCGAGATGGCAAACGATTAGCTGTTTTATACACAGGGAATCTTCTGAGGTTCAATACAAACCTTATATTGTTACTCATTCATTCTTCAGAGTTTATGATCGATCAGATTGGAGTTCTGAAAACTGGGGTGGCCTGGATGGTAGAGCTGTTGATGCTGTTTGGTCACCTAATGGAGGTTTGCTTAACGTGCTTTTCTGCGAACATGATTTCTAGAATGCCTCATGTTTTCTACCGAGTTAAGTCACCAGCTCTTCTCAATCGCCTTCCATTCCAAAGAGTTCGTCAACGACGACGGTCAAAAAGAAATGTCTGTGAGCTAAATGAGCTAGCAATTTCGTTTTCCAGGAAACTTATAGGAGAAACAGTGGCCCAACCAATGTTTGATGTAAGTGCCGTTGAATTCGATCCTGCGGAGCTCAATATTACCAATCACGAAGCCAGACCAGTACAAGTAATTGGTGGCGAAGTTCAATCATTAGCTCTTAGTCCTGACGGACAGAGACTAGCCGTTCAATTCAAGCGTTAAGTTCTGAAAGAATTAATGTAACTCCCTCGCTTTCCAGATAACCCTGAAGTGTTCGCAATTTTTATTGTTGACTGGCATCCAGTCTTAAGACTCATTCCGATGTTAGTTTTCTGCCCAGAAGCGTTGTTTCTTCATACTTTTTCAGAGGATTAGCCGAAGCCCCTGGATCAGGGAAAGTAACTATTCTGGACTTTGTTCCTCAATTCCGGGACGGATCATTATTATTCGCTGTAAGATGATATGCTTAAAGGATTTTAAGTATTTAGCATTTTGAAGGTATGGTCTGATGGACTTGTACAATATCTGCCATTGATTTATGGAGCACCAACATCCACTGGGTTTTCGAAAAGCATTCTAGGATTCAGCCCGCACTTTCTTGAAAACCAATCGTTCTATCAGGATGCCATGAACATTTCCTCGCAAAAGTTTTGAGAGCTCGTAAAGCATGTGCAAGTTTATTTTGTCGAGCAATCGGAATAAATTCTGATAAAATTTGAACTAAGTAACTTCGGAACATCTATATACAGATTTAAAAAGAGATCAAAGCTTGCGGAAAGAAAGTTAGATGAAACGGAGATCAGAGACTAATAGAGACACGTTTTCTTCATAATATCAAAAAAATCTTGCTCTTTGACTTTACCATCATTTTTACCCTGGGAAGCTTCCTTGATCATGTCATTCAATTCATCAATAGCAAGATCTTCGCCAAGTTCTTTAGCAACCTATAAAAGCTTCTCTTTCATACAGAACTCGAGTATTGAATAACCTGCTTAAGGTTTTCAATAGAAATCCATCCTTTCCCTTCTTTGTCAAAAAGACGGAATGCACTTCTCATTTCTTCCAATGACTTATCGGTTTCAGTAGTATCTCTCAGAAGGTCGAGAAACTCATCAACGTCAATGGAATTAGGATCTTAAAAGGAAAAATAAGACTGGACAGGACGCAATAACGCACTCTCTTGGCCTCTGACAGTTTTTGTCTTCATGTCTTTGATCTTCTTAGTCATACCCTCAATTTGAGCATTTCGTGGATCGAACCCAAGACCTCTCATGACCAGCTAAAGAATTGAACCTTACAAAAAATAAAATGTCTATCCAAACCTTCAAGTTCGATATCTTAAGAAGATTTGGGGAAGCTGGATCGAGAAGAGCGAACGCTGCTTCAACTTCTTCCTTAGTAACTTGCATGGTGTTCGCCATCTGAATTGAGTACATTATGAAGTGCATATATAAACAATTAGGTATTCGAAGTGTCCGAGAACATCGTAAGGTAGTAGAAACATTCACGAAAACAAGTTTATTCACATATGTTCTAAGGCAGCAGTTGAAAGAGGATAGTGGGAGATTCTAAGGTCGAGTGGAAAGGATATTTGGTTGTGAACTTGATTTGTGAGCAATCCAAGAACATGATTGTTTCCCTTTCAAACGAACACTGGTCGATTCTGAAGTGAGCTTCTTCTGAAACAAAAGTATATACAGATTTATGAGAACTCCTAAAATACCAAGAAGTCTACGGAAGTGTCTGACCGTTTCCGAGTCTCTCACAGTACAAGCAATATATGCGATCGCTCCAGGATTACGATCGAGCAAGCTTCTTATTACATTGATCAATGGAGGACATAGTTGCTTGTCATAGACAACATCAGCAGCAATGATGAAATCAGGAATCATGTCTAAATCGTCTACAGAGAAGCTCGACCACTCTAAGGGAAGAACTCTCACTTTGCTGGGATCCTAAATGTAAAATGATCAATGAAATAAATTGGTACTAAACTGCTAAGTTAGATGCAGCGACATTGAGTTCGAGTTGCTGGAGAACTTTCGGATCATAATCAGTTAAGTCAACCGTGCAGGAAGGAAAACTTGCAGCAGTGGATATTCCAGCTAGTCCACAGCCAGCACCTAACTCTAATATATGCTTATCTCTACAGTCCATGAAATAGGTCATGAAAGCTGCGAGATCACATGAAGCCTGCAAGCCAAAATTGATACCATACTAAAGAACTGGCAAATCACCTGCCACACAGACAATCCTGTTGTTCCATGACAGAGTTGTTGATTAGATTCGCGAATGCTGCAACGAATGTGTTCACCATTATCGGTTAGATACATCCGATAAGAGAAGTCATCCGATTCAGACATCGCATCGGCAAGAGCAGTGTATAAAGAATCCGGAATCTCCAACTCCGCAGTCTCGGCCTATACAACGTTAATACATTGAGGTAATCAGAACTAAACTCACTTTGGTGATAATTGTTTTCAAAACAGTCCTACGGAAAGTAGCTCTCACAGGTTTAGTCTTGAAAATTTCGTTGGAAACGATTGCCCCTATCGCTTTAAGGTTGCACAAGTTGTCTCTCACTTCGTGATCCATTATTTTCACTCCAGCAAAGTATTTCCTTGTGAAGCTTACAAGGTCCTAATACAAAATACAACACTTTCAAACATATAACACTTACCACAGGTATGTTATCAAAAGACATTCCTGTTTCATTTTCTTTTGCGCAGATTGAGCTGGTCGTAGGTCCCCTTAGTAGGTTTAACTTCTGCAAATAGATGCTTTAACCTATATAAAATTTTTATCTCACTATAAGCAGTTTGAGGGGCGACATATTCATGCCGTTCAAATGGGATTCCATAGTGTTCAGCTTGTACGATTCGTTGTTCACACTTGACTACCAATTTTCCTATCTCAACGTTATCGTTGATCTGGAAAAAAATCTCATAATGTATTTATGCTAGATATTATACGTTTTTGTTGGCTCGGAATTTTTCTCGAGCTTCAGATAGTATGTGCTCACGCTCTGCGGAAGTTTTCGTGGGATCTTGTGCTTTCCAAGTTTTCCCTGTAACACTAAGAGGTATTATGAAAATACGGATAAAAGTCACCAAGTTTCAGAACTTGCTTATATAGTTGAATAACTTTCTGTCTTTGGGGTGAAACTACAGACATATACACGCAGAAATATGACCACGCTCATCTAATGTCTAATTGTAAGAACGGAATAACCGCGTAAACAGAGTGCAAGTAAGTAGGAAAAACACCGCAGAGCAAGGTAAGACTATATAAGAAAGTGTTTATGAAGTATAAGTATGTATAAAGAAATATAAAGTATGAAAAATAGTTCCTAAAGGATTAAATGATATGAGAAAGGAAAGGTAATGTTTTATGAGTCTAGCTGACTGCTTAAAACGTCCACTAACTGCACTGCTAATTCTCTTATTGCTATATCAGGAGAAGATAGGATCAGATTCTTGGCGGTTGGCAATAATGCTTTGAAAAGATCTTTCGATTCTTCAGATTCACACGTTAATAACAATTGGAATGGAGTCAAACAAACATCTCTGTAAGCCATCAACCTGTATGAATCAGGATCGATCTGAAAAACTCATTTTCAAAAGAAGAACATGATGATTTCAAACTTCAGATGGCGGTTGCTCCTCTTCAGCGGCTGAATTCATGATACTGACGAAAGGGTTTTGTCTTTCTACCACGGGTTTTTTAATTGGTCGAGTCAGTCGATATGCTGCAAGTAAGTTGATTCTCAAAACCATCAATTTGTTTACCTGAATAAATATCAGCTATCTCATTCTCTGTAACAACTTTGTATAGTTTATCAGCATCAATCTCTACCAGTCGGAAATCGAAATGCTTCAAAGACGGTAAGGTTAAAAATCTATTAAACGAGTACTTAAAACCTGTGGGCGATGTTCTCTAGCTGCAATGGCCATGCGTCTGAACGCAGTCGCATTTTCGATACGTTTAAACTCTGCTATAATCATGTTTAAGGCTTTACTAAGCTGATCCGCCACTTCTATACTCCTTCAAATTAACAAGTAAGAAAATACGATTAGGCACAACTAAGCCCACTTTGAAGTCTTAGCATGATGAAATAACGAGACAAGCTTTATAAGTCCAGCAGAGACCAACTGTTTCAGTAAGTTTGGAAACTCTAAGTCACTACATTTTGAGATATAAGCGACAGCAGTAACATTGTTGTCGAACTCACGAGCGACCTAAAAACAAGTAGATAATAAGGGTTTGGAATCAAAATTTTGAAAACAAAGGCATACCTGAAACGAAGCATCTAGACAATAATACAGAACTGAGCGGGTTTTATCGCTGATTTTTTCGAGTACCTGGTAAACAATCTTTATAACATTCTTAGTTCTATGACAAAAACATACCTTCAAAGAGGCAGATTCTGAAAGGACGCGAATCATCTGGTGAGGTATTGTCGTTGGTGAAAGAAGAGAGCCAATTAGCTGAAGAACAACTTGGTGAGCTAAAAGTGAAGAAACAATGTGTTGTAAAGAGAATCTGGAAAAGAACAACTGTATAAAGTGCTACTTAAACTTCAGTTGAAACCTGAAAGTTGAGCCGTTTTTGCTGAAAGTGAAATCGTGTTTTTTTGGCAGTGATACAGCTTGGGGATCATCAGAATCTTCAGCAGACATTTCATCTTCGACTTGATCAAACGTACTACGTTTTTGTATATCAACATAGAACACCTGGATAAAATAACAAAACTAAGCTAAAGCAAACCAAAATATTAACCTGTTCAGCTAGTACTCTATCCATAATAGATAGAGGACTAGTTTTGTCAATCATTAAACCATCGGTCAGATTCGCTTGAGTCGTATTTTCCAATATCGCACATGAAAGCAACAGTCGGATCGGATGCAATGTGGCAGAACTGCAGTAAACAGTCTTTTCGATGTGGTCATGAGATATCTTACCAGCTATCCCAAAGAGCTTTTTGCAATATAGTCCATTGAATATCATTGAAGTTCACGCAGGCCGTCGAGAGATGACGGAGACATGCCGCTCCAACTCTAGAGAAATCATTTGGTTGCCCCGAACACTCCACAGCAACTCTACAACCATCTGCTAGCAAACGATTACTCCAAACATTTCCTTGAACAGAAAAGTTAGAAAATAGTAGCTGAAATCTATACTCACCTTCATGACCAGATAAGAACTCCAGAACAATTTCTGTGCAAGTCCCGAGAGCTTGCTTGATATTTCTAACCTCGTCAGCTTCTTTTGGCCTCCTTAGCCATTTTTGAACATAAGGGAACAACAACGCAGAGACACAAAAGGATGCTGTGTCAAACCCTGAGAAAAAATAATTTCCGAATCAAAATTTTCACGAACCGAAATCATTATCTCGAATAGAACATAACAATTGGTGAATAGATCGTAATAGAGGTGGTTGAACGGACGACGGCGCAGTGACTAAAGTTCCGCATAACTACAAAACAATTTTCAACTGAGAACTTTGGAAGAAAAAGCTTACATGCTCGAAAAACGTTAGAACTAATTCAATAGAGGCTGTCTCATGACAATCTTTGTCAATCCAAGACAATGTGCCACGTGGGACTAAAAGAGAATTTAGCTCACAAAGCTGAACAAAGCTAGCTTACCATCCAATTTACCATCTAACTTTATAGGGTCAGTATCTTTGGTATTATGGGCATAAAAACCAGGATCAACTGTTGAAGATAAAGCTGGGATCAATGATTTTGTCGCAGACAAGCAATGAACTTGATCATCAACCTCATCAATGCTATGAATCCTAAGATCAGCGCTAAAACAAATCAAAATATCAGAATTTCAGAGCTAGAGACAACAAACCGGTGCAATAAGTTGTGACTAGGACTATGTGGAGTTTTGAATAAGTTCAAAATTACAGCATACGTCGGTTGGATCAGATGAAGTGCGGCTTCAGACAGCTGGCTATCTAACTCAGTTGTTTCTGTTGATTGCAAAAAGTGAACAATGCAAGCGAAGCAATCAAGTAGTGACCATGATAAAACAGAGCTGAAAAAAATTAACTTGTTTCTATGGTATTTCATGAAAGCAACCATTTTTTTATATTCAAATATGTACTGATGACATCTAGAACGGTCCAATGAACACTAGCATCTTCAACGGAAGAGGTACGAACAGCTCTCAAAGTTCCGAACAGGGGTTTCCAAGCTAAAAAAAATCCCTCGAAACCGTTGGTTGATCAAAATTCTACCTGATCGCAGTGTGTCCGATTTCGTTCTGACATAGTCAGATAAGCACAGAACTAACTGTTGTCGAGTTTCAGGGGTGCATAATTCCGAGCATACAATTGACTAGAATGGTTGTTGTATATAATACAATGAGAACGAAAACAATACTTGGAAGGGTACTAGAAGCATTTGATTGAAACACATTCCATTCGACTCCGCTAAAAGAAGCGAGGATACACTTTCTGATAAGGCAGTAACACCAGAGCGAGATTCTTCTCCACAGCAGGACACCTGAATATAAGTAAATGTAATGATATAAGTGTGGGCGATTCACCTGTGTGAAATGAGCACCAACTATAGGCCAGACTAACATTTGATGAGCTAATGGTCGAGCATGTAGTAGACTAAGAATCTCCGATATCTGAAACTGACGAATATTATATCATTCTATCCTGTTTCCAACTGACCCTGGATAACAAGTTAACAGAAGGACTAAGAGCTGGAGCCTTCTGATCAGAATAAATTATTCTATTTTCGCTAGCATTTACTAATGAAACAGACAAATCTCTCAAAGACTTCAAGTTTAGTTGACGTCCGCACAAAGAATAAAATCTGAGAAAGTTGTTAATTATTTTCTTTTAATTGAGCTCGAGATACCTATCTACTTTAGCTATTAACACTGCGAGGGCTTTGTTTATTCCATCACGATCTAATTCTTTTTCTCCTAGCATATACTCAATACTTCTTTCATAGTATGCTACGTCCTGACGAGAACACATTCATATGAAGAAAAACGATTTTGAACATACCTCTTCAACTTTCTTTTCAGGTTTTTCTTCAACTGTTTTTCGTCCAAACGAAAACTTCTGAGGTTTTTCATAACATAACGCTCCATATATATATTTCTCTAATTCCCAGACATACTCGGTACATCTGCTCATTAATCATGTAAGCTTTAGTGAACATATTTAAGTACCTTATAACATGTTTCCAACATTCTGGAGCATGTAAAGCTACGAAAGCATGATCGAGGCACATTTGCATACTAAGCAAATCAATACGACTCACAATCGAGAACCTGTTTAAGAAAGTACACTTAGAAGTTAAGCTTATTTCAAACCGTTTTTGTTCCTCAGCCGTTGCAGATGTTCTCAACTCTTCCAGATCACAAGAAGCTTCAACAAGCTTTTCAAATATCCAACCGCATCTATCACCCAGTTCTGAATAGATAAATCTAATAATTGCTACAAGCTCGATTTCATTACCTAAATCTAGGGCAACATTCGTCAGAACTTGCATGCCATGAATGGAGTGCTCGATACCCTCCGCAATTTTTTGTCTGGCACACCGTCGTTCTGTGAATAAAAGATGTTAAAACTTATTCGACCATAATAATCTATCAACCCGAACAACTTCGAAATGAAAACAAACCTTGAACGCCGAGGAAGGTGGACAGTATGCTAACTATGCAATCCCAACTAGCTGTAACCAACCAACGGGTGGCTAGACGTTCTGTAACAAACTGTCATCAACGTTGATATAACTGTCTTGCCTTCGTAGGGTTGCTTGGATGGACCTTGCGAGATCGTCTTAAGCCTTTCAACATCGGAAAGCAGTTTGTTATCAAATCCATCATAGTCTGAACGAATAACGAACATTATATGATTTCGACTGATGAATTACCTTGAACAACATCTCTAAGTGCTCCATTCAAATTGAAACTGTCTTTATACTCGCAGATATGTTGGTATACTTTCAAGAGCCAGCTTTCACTAACATAAACAATACAACCACTTAAGAAAACTGATTCTTTGAAACGTTCCTTAAGATCATACATAGAAGCGATATGAATATTCAACCTACCCAAGTAACTTTTTCCGGGCCTCTATGTCCTAGACTCAGTGAAGCATAGACAGACAAATAAATAGCATCAGTGTTGAGAAACTCTTGCTGAACTTTTGATTTCGATTTGAAAACTTCATTATGCACTGCTGAGAAGTCTTCAAATGAACTTGTGAGCAAACAATTGGTCATCAAAGTAACTAACCACTGTAGAAAGATGTTGCAAACTCCAAAATAGCATTATCAATCAACAATGTTGACTTTTCTTTTTCCCATTCAATTATTCTGTCCATTAACGAATCAGCAAACTTTTTGGCTGTCACTTTCTCACTCTGCATAGTAATAGAGAATTAGTCGTTATGAAATCGTTCACATACAGTTTCGTCATACTCGGTGCTACGACGTTGTAAGATTGGCTTACACTTGTGTACTTCGTTTTCATCGAAAGAGCTCATTCCGAACTTCTTAGTCAACTTTTTCAACGTTTTCGAGATTTCCTGCAATTCCTTCAATGAAAATTGTAAAGAAAAAATATGCTAACATCTTCTGGTTCCTGTTCATCTGCATTTGAAGCTTCATTTTGAATTAATTCAGAGCCCTGACGATCTGTCGAAGGCCTGGGACTAGAGTTGCCTAAATCCGACCGCGCAGTAAAACCTGAAAATTGCAATTGAGTAGCTCAAATTTTGGCGCCAATAAACTTTTGACGGAAGCTTCAGGCAACGAATGGAACATTTCGCGCAATCTGGCTCGTGTATCACAATCCATTATTTGTGTTGATCGAGAGTAATCGAGAATCCCTTGAAGCTGAACAACAAGAGAACAAAGTTATGAAAACAGTTTTGAATTATACCATAAATCCACATGTTCTCACGGAATCCAAAGATATTTCATAGCTTGGATTGGCAGTCTCGAATATACAAACGACAATCATTCGCCATAATGACAACGATCTATCACGAACTGCTGCAGCAACTAAATCTCCTATTCGACGAGGATCTGACACGATCTTAAGTATTGAATATGATATGAAAGCTTATTGTGATTATTGTACTTTTCTAATAACTTTTACAGCTTCTGAACGTTGTTCAATTTTAGGGAAGAGAAATGCCTTATGCAATAATGCCTCCAACGAACTCGCTACTGATGGAATTCCTGCCATTATTCTAATCAACTGTTCTAATATCCTAGAATGGGTGATTCAGTATGAAACATTCATTCAATCATTTTCTCTTACTGGTATAAGGCTCTTGTTGCATCAGGGTTAGCTATGACGGAAGGACTTAAAGGAAATTTATTTATTTGTCCTTGTCCCATAGGCTCTTCCGTACTAACGGTAATGATAGTCGTACTGGAAATGTTTTTGTCGGGAACGCCCAGCAATCGAATCATCAAAGGACATAACTTCTCCCTGAAAATTCGAAAAAAATTAATCTAATAAAAACCGCTTGTTCTACCAGAGTAAGTTAACAAATGGAGTGTGACTTTGAATTGTTAATGATTGAGAAGCTAGCAGAGCATTCATCGCATCAAAGATGACAACACTCTGATCGTTAGAAGTCGTCATTTGGTCTAGTTTCATACAATAACTTTCTAATAAGTTTGTTACATCCAGGTATATTGCTATCTTGTCTTGACTCTCATCCTGCAACATGTTCATGCTTTCTAGTTGTAGAGTTTAGAAACATACGGAAGCAGCATATCGGTTGAAGAAGTAAGATGTTGTCGATTGTGATACAGAAGCTCTTGCTGATACTCTTACTGACTCTTCTCTTGAAGCACCATAGACGCGCATGAAAAGCTGGAGAATTACCAGATTACTACTAATACGTCGTTACAGCTTACTTCTAATGCTTCTTCGACCTCTTGCAGTGATATTTTCAGTTCGGTTGAGCAAATCATTTCTACTAGAAGCTGTAAGGAGCAAGATAAGTAAAAAAAGTTACAAAGAAAGCTAACCGTCAAGCAATAGCATTGTAGTTGTGAACTCCATTGAGCTATGCCTGTCATAGAATGTAAAATCTGAATGGATGAGTAATTATCTCGTTCAAATTGCCATATATACCTGAGTGGGAAGATTATGTTGTGGATTTTCAATCGAAATCGAATGAAATCGTTGATCTCGAAGAAGGACTTGTACTGCATCAACAGCAAAGTGGGCTGTTTTCTCATTTCCATGATCAAAAGCCAATTCGATGGCGGCTAAACATTTGTCTCGAAGGTATGGAATAGGAACATCTCCATGTTCTGCTGAATTTTTAACAGCTTCTGAAATGCAAATTCATTAATTTAAAAATGAAATATTGAAGGGAATATAAGTTTTCGCTAATTCGTTGACTGCAGGACTTGTAGAAGTCGATGAGCACTAGCGAACAACGAGAACTTTCAATGACACATTGATGTTCAAACGGATTTCTAGCTCAAATAAATGTCGTTAACGATTGTACTTTGGGCAAAAAACAAGGATGCATACATAGCAAGATTAGATATAACATATCCTACCTTTAGCTGCAGCTACAGCGTCTTTAATTTGGGAGTTTTTTGAAGATAAAACTATTCCATTCAGGGCAGTTTCCATTATTGGACATTCAGCTCGCGTTACGCAGCCGCGTCGCGTGCAACTGAAGGCTCGATGAAAAGCTTCGTAGAGGGTGGCAAGCCCTGAGGGCAAGAGCGGTCGCCATGAAAGGCAATATGAAGAAAGTAAAGAGAGATGAAGAGAGAAAAAGAGAGAGAGAGGATAGACTGAGAGATGACTGGAGAGAAATAAGAAATAATTTTGAGAGCCATGTGCTCGTATGGAGGAAAAGCTTAATTGCACGTTGTTTTCATTGCATATTGCAATATATAAAGTCAATTCGAAAAATAAATGAAGCTGATTAAGTTCATTCGATTCATTTCGAACGAATATTCCAATATGAAAGTTATAGTTGCTTCATAGATAGACGTACTCATACACACTGTCTTATACCTCATTTGAAAGATCATTCATCTATGGCTCTATCTATCTATCTATCTATGTGTATGTGTGTGTGTGTGTGAATTTCATTTCTCCATCCAATTGAACTACTCAATCTCAGACAGCCTAATTGAAATTTCAAATTTTTGTAAGTTGACGACTAAAAACAAAAGAAAAAGTGTTGATGTATATACATATTTTTTACTTTTTTTTCTTTCTCTTTCTGTCTGTTTTATCTGTTTGGCTTTCTATTATGTGAATAGCTTTTCTTCAATAGGTGATTATACGCTAATCTGGAGAAACAGCGTCACCATGGTTGTACTGGATTGACAGCCGACTAACTATTCAGCTTTTGGCTAATTTCCCTTTCTGTTTCTCTGTTTCTCCTATATCCTATATACCTCTTAGTCTGAACCTCACATTATAATTCAAATTGTCTGTTTCTCTTCACAAACTGTTCCTCTTCATCCATCTTCCTTTCTCCCCACACCACCACCACCACCACTACCACCCCATCTCTTCTCCTCTCATATAGGTTCGTCTCTCGTCTCATTCTTCTACCGTTTCTCTTCTGAAACTGCCATCCAAATCCATTTTCCTTTATTAATTTCTGCCAATACATTTATATATATAAAAGATTTCAATCAATTCTTTCTCATCTACATCTCAAAACCATCTTCACACGTCATAATTCTGTGTCATCCTGTCCTTTTGTGCGCCAAAATTACCAAATTAAGAGAATGTTTTGAGAAAGAGGGGGGAACGGAGACAAGAGAAGTGAAAGATCTTCTATTTTTCGAAATATTCATTTTCCCACATTCAGTTAGGCTTAATGTAATTAGCTTTGATAGCATGAAACTTGGTGAACATTCAATGTGTCCGAGAAGGAGTGGAAGAAGAAGGATTTTTATTTTGCCTCTTACATCACATCTCATCTCTTCTTCTTCCTCATGTGCTCGTCTATGTCTCTTCTAAACTGCAAGCATCATCATCTCATCTCTCTACTCGCTCATCTCTTCTTTTTTCTTTTTCTTTTTTTTTTCTTTATTTTTTCATCAAAAATGATTCAGAATATGGTCATTTTCTTCGTTCTTGTCACAAAAAATGTATATGGAAAATGCAATTTGGTTTCCTTTTTTGGAATGAATTTATTGAAAATATAAACTTGGTTAGTGGAACATCTAAGTAACTCAGATTGCTTATGTCTTTGCCGTTCTCTCGGCAACACTCTTAATCAACTCATTCTCTCTTGCTTACTCTCTCATTTCAATCAAACAAGTGTTCCTTTTTTTCAAAAATGGAAACAAATGATTATACTATGCTCTGTCTCTTTCTATCTCTCTCTCTATCTCTCTCTCTATAGAAGTATCCATATCCTCAGTCATATGTTATAGATTATGATAATACAACAAATCAATCAATAATTCATACTTATCCACACATATTAATTATGTTTAAAAAAACAAATTAGCATATTGATTAATGATGCTTACGTCATTCAATATTCCACGTGAAATTCATTGAGAATGAGATGTGCGCAGAATGGTTGACTCCTATTTTCAACTCATTCCTCTCCTTCACCAATGTTTTTCTTTTGTCTTCTTGTTATACTCTATCTTTTCTCTCTCTCTTCTTCTTTTTTTCATGAAAAAAATATTTTTCCCTCTCTCTCTTACCTTCTTCTGCTCATCTCTTGATTCCAATCTTCCACTATCTCTCACTCTCTCCATCTGTCTCTCTCTCTTTATCTACCCTCCACCACTTTGTTCCATCTTTTTTATGTTCCCTCACTCTCTTTCAGCCTTTTTTTTTCCCTTCATATCCTCTCTCTCTCTCTCTCTTTCTCTCTACATATCCACTCTCTCTTTTAATTTATATATGCCTATTGATTGCTCTCGTCTCTCTATTGTTATTCATTCATTTTTTCAATCTCTAAACATATTTCCTCATCTTTCTTACTCTAACCATTTCTATAAAAACTCCGCCCCTTTTATTATCTTACATTCAGAAAAAGCTCACAATCGTAGATGACTTATCAAGAATAGTCGTTTGTTTCTATTAATTTTTAATATTTCTTTATTACAAATTCATTTCTGTCTATTCATCATCATCATCTCCATTTTTGTCTTCGTTGTATTCAAATACATGAAAGTCTTTTGGTGTTCATAGATGTGAGAGGAAGAAACAGATATAGAGGGATTGACAGATAGAGAGAGAGAGAATGAGAGAGAATGGAGTAAGAGGTAAAGAGAGAAAGAGAGTAAGGAAAGATGAGGAACCCCCCAAAAAAGGAGAAAAGAGAATTTTGCGTGATGGAACAGAAATGAGTTCCAATTAAAACTGAAAGAGAGAAACAGAAGGATATGCAGAGTCAATGGCTTTAATGGAGAGCTTTGAGTGAGACAGAAGCAAAAATGAAAAAGGCATACGATTTTGGAATAAAAGTGAGAAAATTAGCAGAAAAATGCGAAGAGGAGAACTGAAATGAAATATAGAGGGAAGGAGAGAGAGAAATAGAAAGAGGGAGAGAGAGAGAGAGAGAGGAGAAGCGAGCAAGTAACACAGTGAAAGAGAAAAGAAAAAAGAAAAAGAGAAAAAGGAGAGGTAATTGGAAAATAATCCATGTGGCAGCTAAGGTTGGCATCCCTTAGAAACCGTTGATGATAGACGTCAAACTATAAACAATTATGTGTGTAGAGAGAGAATCAGAGAGTAAGAGAGAGAACGAGGGAAGTACGAATATTGTTGAGATGAAAGCTTCGAAATTTTAATAAATCGGAAGTCATACGGTAATGAGTAATTAGATGATTTTGCGCAATATAAATCATTTTTGGGGAGAAGCATGAGAGAAGTATGATGAGATAGATAGCAATGGATTGAGAAGTGATGCCAAGTTGTGCCTGATGCTTGAATGAGAACGCAAAGTCCATAAGAAGTAGTACATCAAATACAAATAATAATGTGTTATTATAATTCTTTTTTTTGCTTCGTTCTTTCTCTCTCTCTCTTCGATGCATAAATCGATTGTGAGAATATATTTTGTTTTAACGATGTTTTATTAAAATAATATGATAAAAAAATAAAATAATAATATTGATTTAGAATGACGCGCGTGACAGCCAATCGTGGTGCACGTGGACGTCCACGTCGTGCACTTCCACCATCATCATCTAATGATAATCCGGTAATTATAATATTTTATAAATCAATATGACATGTATATTATGCTTTAATGCTTTCAGGCATTTCGTGTTCAAAATTCCCAAGATTATTGGCCAAATTGTGAGGCAATGACAGCCAGCATGCCAGAGACATTTCAGCGATTATCACATGCTCATCACATGAATGGACACCGTATGTCAAACATAGCTTGGCCATCAAGCTCGGCTGCTGGAGCAACACCAGTTCCTCATCATCCTCATCACCCTCAACTTCTTCCACAGTCACATCTTCATCAGCAGCAGCAACTCCATCTTCAGCAGCAGCATCATCAGCAGCAACATCAGCAGCATCAGCAGCAGCAGCATCAACAACAGCAACAACAACAACAACAACAACAACAACAACAGCAGCAACAACAACAACAACAACAACAACAACAACAACAACAACAGCAGCAGCAACAACAACAACATCAACATCAACCACAGCAGCATCCACATCATCCACCAGCGGCATTCGTTCAACATCATCTCCAATATGCTCAACACGTGCGTACTTTTTGATCCCTTCTGCGCGAAGTTTCAAATTCACACATTTCAGCCGATGCATCCGTGGCCGGTCTATCAACACAACCAAGCCTATCCGGTTTGTTATAATATGTGATTTAAAGTGAAGCAAATCTATTCATTCAAGAAAATGACTGATAATCCAATTGAACAACAGCGACCGGCCGACCAACCATCAGAAGTAATTACATTTCTTTCTACAGTACCTAATCTACCGTATGACAAACATTTTTATTGTCTTACTGTAATGAGAAAACTTAATGAAAAAAGGAAGAAGATAACTAGAGAAGTGTAACATGAACAACCGCTTACTATGCAAACTGAAAAATAAATTAAAATTCTTTCACGTGAAAATACGTCAAACATTTGTATTTAAGCACTTATGACGTCACTTCCCGCACTTTTCCCCGTAAAAATTGATGAAAAAAAAACAAAATTTATAGGGACAATTGGCTATGAATGGTGATGGTGTCTGGAATGAAGAAGAAATGACTCAATTACTTGTAAGAAATATCTTAAAAGAGAGAGAGAATAACAAAATAATCTTGAAGGGAACAATGCCGTTTAATCCAGAATATGTGCCAAATCAGATGTTTCAACAGGTATATTCAATATGCATACATGATAGATGTGTTTATCTTGTTTATAATAATTAAGGGAATGAAAGGCATTCCACCTGGTGGTCCATTCGTTCATAATCATGCGTATATGGGATTTGCATATGTGGGAAATCCGCATCCAATTCATCCATATATGTTAACACCTAATAATGAAAATCAATCAATATCTGTAAATAGTATGACGTCATGGCAAGCAACACATGTAAATGTATAAAAAATTGTTTTATTCAAAATAATATTAATATTATAAAATAGAATGGAGGAGTATATGGTGATAGTGGTGATAATCGTGAGACTGTACAGCCGGTAGGTTTGTTGTATAATTCATATAATTTGCTTTGTTATAAAGAAGCTTAAGCTTCAACATAATTTATGCAAATTATAGAATCTGAGTTATCAAGATGATACGACGACGACGACAACAACGACAACGCATATGTTACAGAATGTTTCAAATAATTTTGAAAAAGTTGAAACAAAGAAAGTTGACGAAACGAAAACTTTCGAATTTTATAATAATCAATATCATAATTTTAATAATTAATAAATAATATCATTATATTGATCAATTGTGGTATGTTTATGTATAATTATAGGTTACATTATATATTTTAATACATATATATATATATATATATACATAGTTTTTTAATTCTTTTTTACATTTCTCACCACGTACTTCACGTATATTGCTTATGCATATTCCTCATTTACTATATAATCGATTACTTGTGTTCAATCAATAATTCATTTAATTTCCATCAATCAATCAATCAATAATCAATCGATAGACATACTTTCTTTTTACAAACATTAACATTTCTACTTAATAAATCATATTTTTTGTGTTAATGCATGGCTTTTGTACATAAACATCAAGTTTGATGAAGAAAACAAATATATTTACAAACAAACTGTTAGATTGTATCATTTTTCTATTCAATACGTTGATTCTTCACGCTTACGATGAGCAAATATGGGAATGGTCAGCACGCTGACAACTATCTGTAGTACAATCACAGCTATCATTGATGAGCCGAATATGATGAGCGTTTCATTCAGACGATCCCATACTGCTGCTGTACATGTTTTCTGAAACATATTACATCATATAAGAGATCATTTTTGAAATGGATTAAAGAAGCCATAGATAGGACTATGATGTACGGAAAGTAGGTATGTACCTGTCCGGCAGAACATCCGAAGGTCGCCTGTCCCGCCACTCCACAACAATCGTACTGCAATAGAAGAAATTGTATAAATGAATCAGAAGATGAATCTCACTCTTCCAGTGATGGCTTGAATATCTTGTTGACTTTGTAAGTAATAAGAATAATAAACATATGAATTGACTTTGTCATGAATCTGAAATACACGCAATCAGACAGTTCATTGACGACAACATGAAATGCAAAGTAAAGAAACTGACGTCTGATCCAGCAACTATGACGCGAATTCCAACAGCGATCTCTAGTATGATGACAATAACCATGGCGATGAAGTATAAAATAAGGAAACATCTTGATTTTAGGCAAGAAGCCAAAAATCCCACGAATCCAATGATGACACAAGCAATAGCAAATCCCATAATCACCCAATATGACACAGTGATCTATATGCATGTTTATATATAGATATTTATATATATAGTTAATATAGTTACCCATGTTCGCATATCATCCTTTATGTCTCTTAACGGTTCTCCATTGTTTTCAACTTTGATAGCATGACGAAGGCTGTACTCAAATCCATCATCCCAACGTATCCAACATGCCAATCCAATCACTGCTGCTGCGACAAGCTGTAAATGAATAATTAATTTTTTGTAAATTCCATAAACATTTTGCTGTAAAGTTTAATATTGAAAATAGTAAAAGGCATACCAGCATCAGCAGATTCATGCCACATACTATTCCACGTGCTATAGTTGTAAATGACATTTAAGCTGAAACAAATTAATTGAAAAAATAATAATTTCTAAAGATCATCAGGAATGACGATCAGATGATGTTCATTAGACAGTATGCAATTAGAAGAGACAATATATAAATGATTATGATGAATGAAGAGAGCGGAGAGAAGTCAAACAAAATACCTGAAGTACGAGATTGCATATGAAAGCTTTAAATAAACTTATTGAACATTTCACATGAAACATGGGCGGTAACTATATGTATATAGTTAGTTATAATATTATTTATGTGTATATTCATTTAATTTGTTATTTAATCCAAAGAATTGAAATTACAACTAAGATGGTTGGCCACACACAACGCGTTCGTATTCGCAATAGAATTATAATTAGAATTTGCTTAGAAAGGTAAAGAGATCTATGGTGAATGGCATGAAATGGAGGAGAGATTGAGGTGTAGATGAGAGAGGAAGAGAGAGAGAGAGAGTGGGGGGAGAAGCTTCTGGTCAATTGCTTCTGGAATATCAAATAACTAACGAGTCCTTCACCTTTATTGTTTTGAAGTAAAGCTTACCATATAAAAATTATCCTCAATGCTATTCAGAATTGAAACAAAAAGCTGAGAGGGCGTGAGAACGATGGCTTTCGAAAGAAGCCCTAAATTGGTACAGATGGTTAGGATGAAGAAAGATAAAGAAGGAGAGAGAGAGAATATGAGAGAGAGAGGGAGAGAGCCGAAGCACAACCGTTCAGTTTGCATGCAAACCATGAAATGCCGGCGTGGCTTTGTGGATTTTGAGTGAATGCCGGAAGTTCACGTGTGATCTATGCGAACAAAAAATATCGGAAACGGAGAAGCTCAAAAGATTTGATAAAGCGAGGACAAGTTGCATCATATGAAATGGCATCGTATAATGCGTGAACTCAAATATTTGGAGAAAAAAAAAGAGGAGATTTGAAACGGTATGATGACAGCCAAACAGCACATCAGGACGAGAGAAAGCTAGAACATGAAAGAGGGTAAAGCTTAAGGTTTTTGTTTGTTTAATTCAAGATATTCTGAGTAAATGAGGAAAACAAGGCAAAAGCTTGATATAACTCTCTCGAAGTGTTCTTTCCGAATAGTCACACACACACACGCACACATACCACACACACACACACACACACACATACACATACAGCTCGATAATACACACGCACACGTAGTTGGTAGACACCTGCATCAGAAGTCGATAGAAAATAAAACTTTTTTTTTCCCTTTTTTTTGCCGAGACAAACAACATAATCATGATTTTAAAATAAATTTAATTGAAAGCATGAGAAGGAGCATTGATTAACCTCCAACGGCATTGAGCTTAAACAAATGCCATACAAACACCAAAATAATATTTCTCATTATGCAATATGGATGTTGGTTATCGAGATGGCTTGAAGAGGAACTTGATTACCCAACAGCCATATCCATATGAGGATTCAGCTTCATATTGAAACAGCTGATTTGACAGTAAAAAGAAGAAAAAAGAAAAAAAAAGCACCGAAAAAGTGAATTTGGAACAGTTTTTGATATTATAAGAGATTTGATGGAGTGCGAGAATGAAATGTTTGAAACCGCCGATGATTAATGAGATGATGACGATAAGCAAACATATCAATAAGAACTTGAATTTTCAACAAATAATCAAAATGATTCATCTGGAGCTTGTTAGAGCTCTCTCTCTCTCTCTCTCTCTCTTTCTCTATCTCTCTCTCTTCCTTATGTCTATCACATAAATAGTAAAAGAGTATATAAAAAGACTTTTGAAGAAATTGAATCCGTTGTCAGGTGAAAGCTTCTCGTCGATTATCAAGTGAGGAATTAAGGATCTATTCTCCCTCTTTTTCTTTTTCATTCATTCTATATGTCTTACTCTCTCGTATTGTCTCTCCCTCTATCTCTTTCTCTCCATTTTAGACTCCCATTTCCTGTACTTCTGCTTTTCTTTTCCTCATTCTCCTTACCTTTCATGGAATTCTCGGCTCTCTTTGCATTCTCCCTGCCGTTCTTCCTCACTTCCTCATATTGTACGGAAGAGGCCATACGAGTCGTTCGCATCTCACAACATTCAGGAAAACAAACAAATTGTTTTTTTAAAAATCACATCAAATCAAATATGCTAATTGAGAAATAGAAAAAGAGAGAGAGAGCCAATGAGCTAATGACTCCAAAAAAAGAATCTTTTTCTCAAAAATTACAAAAAAAAAGGCGAAGAGCAACCGGTTGTTGGCGAGCTTACACTCTCAAATGACTCACACGTACTAACGTGAAGATAGTTACGAACGCATGAATCATACTGTGCATAGTATGACCTTTTACGACAACGTTCCGAATCGTAAAAATTGATTTTCGAGACCATTCAAAGATAATTTTTATTAAAAAAAAATGTAAAAAAAACAAACAAACAAATACACGTGAGATTACGTGAGGACAATATGAAACAACTCGTACAAATGAAGAATCTTTGCATATCAATTGAGATTCTATTTTGAAGAAGATGAAGAAGACGTCATAATTGAGAATATTAATTAAGTTTCTTATAAAAAAATTTCTTTCAAAGAAGTTAAAGAGAGGATTGGAAAAGCAGAGAGAGAGAGAGAGAGAGAGAGAGAAAGAGAGACAGAGAGAGAGACAGCATTTCTTTGCGATGATTCGAATATCTTACATGAGATCAGTAGTATGGTAGAGACAGAGTAGTATTTAGAGTCATAAGAATAGAAAAACTTAAATTTGCATATCTTTCTATGGCATCAGACAATTTCTTTCTATAAATTATGTGTTCTAGAAAATGCTGAAGTTGTTGTTGTCGTTAATGATATTCGACGTGGACGAATCTGTAGTCCAGCGCCAGATAGACGTGGAGTAGTTGATACAGCTCCAGATGATATCCTTGGTGGAACGTATACGGGCGGAGAATTTTTTGATAAAGAAGCTGGATAAGAAGCTGAAGAAGGTAATGTTACAGCAGATGGAATAGCATGTGATGAACGATGTAGAGCTTCACCATAAAGCCGATCTTTGTTTCTTTTCAATTCTTCTTCACGTAAACGACGAATATCTTCTCGTCGCTGTTGTCGTCGTAGTTCTTCTTGAAGAAGTCGCTCTTCACGACGACTTTTTATTTTTTTTCGATTTTTTCGTTTTTGATTTAAGTTTGATCCTTTCGGAACAGTTGGCAACCTGAAAAAGAAAGTTTGATATGATGAGAGCTGGCAAATGAAAAACAAACTGTTGAGCATTCGTCGACGAACTGGGAATTTTCAAGTTCTTTTGATATTTTTTTCGAAGCTTCATCAATGACTGCTGACGTAGGTTTGAGAGAAGCCGCCGTGAAAAACCATATTGCCCTTCCGAAATATAATTTTGAGCGATAGATGTTCTATCATAATGGATAACAAGAAAATGACTGGCCTAAATGATCATCTTTAATATTTGACAATGAAATCTTTGAAACAGAATTCAAAATGAAATGCTGATGAAACTCACTTTCCGACGTCGTCTTGTGTTCTTTCCTTTTCGCGGTATTCCGGTGCGACGTAAAGCTACGTACCATGGCCTCTTACGTGATCCATAAGTACATGATGAATATAAATTATAATAATTTTCCATCATTTCCTCCATAAATATACATTCAGATGAATAATTTGAGATCGGCTGAAAGAGATTCATTCAATGATGATCGTCACTGGTTGTATCATTCTCTTACCGTCGAATATAAACTTCCTTCGCTATTCATACATAAAAAACGATTTGATTGAACACCTCGTATGCTAATTAAGCCTATAGCAACTGATATAAAATCTAAAATTCCATATTGGGTGTTTTCGGTGGATGAGCCACGGATTGTTTCGCGTTCAATGGAATTTTCAGGCGCTTCACCTAGAATTTCGAGCCATGTTCCTGAGCGACAGAACAAGGCTCCTCGTCTCGCTCGGCTTGTTTTACTGAAGGAAATAAAAATGATATTTGCTGATGATTTGTATGAATCTTACAATGGAGATCCTAGTACTCCATACTTCTCCTGCCATTCATGCCGCTGCCGTACCTTCGATGCTGTCGATTTACAAAATAAATGCATTTCTGCCGTGGAATTTGCATCACTTTTTTGACCAAACTGTAGAAATTGAGATGAAAACACTATGTCTTCAACAAGCAACTCATTGAAACAGATCTTTCTCATTCTCAGTCTCAGAAGCACATGCATATCAAGAACCATCATTACATGCTGTTCACACGCTCACGTTCTACTCCCTCTCATTAATTCCGTTGCTATGATTGGCAAGCATGTCAACAATGTTTTGTGTGTCTTCAATCAGATAAGCAAAGATTGTAAATTGACAAGACTACAGAGGTTATTCATTCCAATACATAACTCCAAGAATTTTGATGACTTTTGGTGTTATCAACTCAATTGACGAGTCATACATTACAGACTGTCCCTATGATCAACTATAGTGACGAGAAAACTAAAATGAAAGCTATGCCGATGAGCATTCTGTCAGATGACGAGAAGATATATCAGAAACATGAGCCTTGTCATTATCTTAGTGATGACGCAGCGAACTACCCTCACGTGACTTTTATATCAAGCTTTCTCTATAGTAGTCCAAATGTCTCAGGGGCATGACCGAAAAGCATTTAACGTGATAAAATGAGTTGAAAAGAAAATAAGAGATGTTGCATTCACTCAATCATGAGAACAAAGCATGCCGAAGTAATTGAGATCCATGAAACTAACTAAAGAAATGCTCAGACTCTCTATCTCACGCTACAGGAACAGTTTAGCTTCCTCATTCACAGAAAATAGTATAGCATGTAGAGGTTATAGGAACAACAACCTCATAACTACTATAATGACAGTAAGAGACATAGAGAGAAAGAGAAAGAGAAAGACATGGAAACAAAAAAATAAAATAAACAAACTCACATATGAATGATGAAATGAAGGACTAGGTGTTGATGAGAAAGGAAAAAACGAAACGGCACTTCCACCAATTGATAAAACAGACGAGAGGTCCATATGAGTCATGTGGTAAAGAACATCTGAATTGTTGGTTCGAAGACTTCTGAAGAATTGCTAAGAAACGAAAATTGTCGAAAATGGATGGCAATCGAGAAAATAAACTAATTTTTTTGAGAGAAAAGACGTGGGTGAAATGAATGAGCATAGCTTATAAGAGAGATGGACAGAGAAGGAATACAAGAATGATGAGAGGGTTGAGAGTATAAGACTATCTTTAAGGAACTGCCGAACGGAACAAATCCAAATATGAGCAAGTGTGTGTTGTACTTAATAAGGAGCAACTAGACGAGCGTTCTCAATTTCAATCCGAAAAGTTGCGAATGTCTCTCTCTGGAAAGAGCAACAGGAAGAGAGGGCGAGGCATAGGTTGAAAGAACATCAACGGAACTGATTGAACGCAGGTAAGCACTCTGTCGAAGATAAAGTAACAGGTTGAGGATGTAATACAACGCATAGTATATGGTTAGGATTGCAAAAAGAGAAGAGAAATGAGATTGTACAGCATAGTAATTCTCTCCTAAAAGGTTGAAAGAGAGCTTCGAAATAAAAAAGAGAGACGATTTAAGTCAAAGAAACAATTGGTGGAAAGAAAGCAAAGAAACTGCAAACAACTGTTTCTCCTTAAAGCCGTCATTTCTGAGTCAAATCATCTTTTTGTTCCTTTTTCTCTCTCTATCTATCTATATCTCTCTCAACTCGGAGTAATGAGATAATGTATGAATCTTTATAACAAATTTTTTATTCCAAAAGAAAACACAATAGAGGAGAATTGATAGATAGGGATGATGACAGAGAGATTAGAGATAAATGAAAAAAAAGAAAAGAAAGTTCAGAGAAGTCAAAATGAAAATCATAAAACTTACCTGGAAGAAGTGAAAAATGAGAGGAAGAAGCTGAACAGATGGGAAAAATTAAAAAAAAAGTTTTTTTTTTATAAAAATTTAAAATCGGATGAAGCTGAAAGGCCAATTGGTCCGTCGGATAAGATGACGGAGAAAGAAGACGAACAAGAGGAGAGAGAGAGAAAGAGAGAGAGGGATTGAGAGAGAGAGAGAGGGAAAAAATAAGAGAGAAAGAGATGGGCGACTAATTACAGATAATTATCAGTAGGATGAGCGAACTTGCGTGCTCATTACTAGTTGCTCATCGGAAATAAAAAAAAAAGAAAATAAAAATTATAATTTCAATAAAATTAAAAGAAATCGATTACTTTTAGAAAAGAGATAGATTGATGAAATGATGTGAGAGAGAATAAGGTTAAGAGAGATATGAGGGGAGAGATAGACGTCAGGTGCTTAGTCTGAGAGATCTCAAGATGATAATACAACTTTTATACAAAGATTCTTATTTTGGATTTGCGAAAAATTGAAATTTTTTCAACTTTTTTTTATATTTCAACCTTGATTTTTATTAAGAGGGAGAGGGAGAGAGACATAGAGAGAACAAGCTATACAGTTACAGAGAGCTAAGGAGAGTAACGAAGGATGGGAGTTACACACAGAAGAACTTATATAGAGAGAAAATATGAGGAAATACGTCTTGCAAGATGATGATGTAAAAGAGAAAGAGAGAAAAAGAGTAATGAAGACGTAAAAGATGAAGAAGAAGACGGAGGAGAAGCAAAGGTGAGAAGAAAATGAAGAGGGAGGAGATTAGCAGGTGCAAGAAGCTAAGAAGAATCATCACACTTAGAGAGTCATCACTTAAAAGAGTAAGAGATAGAATAATAGGTACTGAGAGAGAGAGAGAGAGATGAAGAGAGAGAGATTGAGAGATAAAGAGAGAAAAGATGGGATAAGTTGTGACGTCATGAACGAGAGAAATGAAATTAAAATTTGTTTTTTTCATAAAAACTTAGCGAGAAGTTAAATAAATTTTAGTCTTTTTATGGCAATGAATGTTATCTTTCAATAAAATCTCTTCCAAATTCATCAATGAAATTGAGAGAAATGTCATGAAAGTTGTCAAAAGAGAAGTCATTTTCTGGGATTTTCGCGGGGTTGAGAGAGAGAGAGAGAGAGAGAGGGGGGGGGCAGGGTTGAGCGCGCGAGTACGGGTGATGTTAAAGAAGAGGGTTAGAGCTAAGGGGTTGGGAAGTCATCTGAAGTCGCATGAAGATAGTGAGAACAGCGTAAGAAAAAAAAATTTTTTTTCCGCTTACTTCTCTCTCTCTCTCTCTCTTGTCATCTCTCCTTCTACGATAATCTGGAGTGAAAAAAGTTTTTTTTTTCTCCTTCACAAATTTTGGTAAGAAAATAAACAATTTTTTTTCTCTTCGAATAAACGAACAAAACCAGAACGTAAAAGGAAAATGATCCATTTCTTCTTTTATTTCTTTGAAACGATCGTTAACTTATCGTCGTCGTTGTCGTCGTCAGTTTTTCTCTTCTGAATGAAGAATAAAGTTGAAGGAAATAGTTGATGAAATGAGGTAACGACGATCAATTCAAATACCTATTGACACCTATTGAAGGAACTGACAACAAAGAAATTTTTGTCATTTATTGCCATAGGGCAAATAGATACATTCAGGATTGTAAGACGTACTTTCTACCTATTTCCATATATAGCTATTGGAATGAATAGACACAGATAGAGATGATAGGCGTGAGAGCGAACTGATGATATGCGCGGATACTACAGAAGTAAAAAATGGAAAATTTTTTTTTTCTTCTCTCTCTATCTTTTTAGACGGAAATGCGTGCAGAGATAATCAGCTGCAAACAAGGATGATGGTTTGGATAGGAGAACGAGGACTGAGAGCGTTTGTTGATTAGAAGCATCCGGTTCGAGAACACACACACAAAACTTCCTGGCGAACAACATGACTGCTAAAGATGAGTGGTGACGGCTTTGTAACGAATATCTGAAAGACAAGTAGATGACAGTCAAAGCAGTTTCATCTTCAATCATCATGCATCTATACAGGTGAACGAAAAAATAAAAATATAGAAAAGAGCTTAGATGAATGTCCCTCTGGCTATCTTCATCTCCTTCAACTTACTTCATTTCCCTTCACCTTCACTATTCACACCCAATCCTCCCGGATATGTGTTATACGTGAAGAGATATGTGTGTGTGTGTGTTGATAGTGAAAGTTTGAATGATTGATAATTAAGTTAATTATATTGTTTGTTATATCTAGTTTGTTATATATATGTATATAGGAATCGAATAACTTCAACACAGATTCATTACATAAGCCATGTAAAGATCGGTAACAGTACAGACAGAATGGGTAGGGGAATTTATTGATGTTATAATAATAATAGTTATTGATTTTATTAAAAATGGCAAGATGTTAAATGATATTTTTTCTTTCAGGCAGAAAAAAGAAAAAATAAGCCATTTTCAATAAAAAATGAACAGTCACTCAAATGGATATTGATCGATAGATAGTTGTGATTATGGAAACATAGAGATAAATTCATTAATTTGGCAAAAGAAGAGAGAGAGAGATAGAGATAGAGAGAGAAGCTAAAAAATGAAGATTGAGATATATAGAGAGAGAGATCAAGTAAGAAAAGAGGCAAGAAGAGAGAGAGAGGGAGAGATCAAATATCGATTGAATACACCAAATAAGCTACTTTCATATTCTAATAATATCAGCCGTTCGTTACCAATATCATCAGAATAATGAAAAGCTACAGACGTCATTTATGGATCTTTCTTCTTAATTAGCATAGAAACTTCTTGTGCTACACTACCATATATGAAGCGGAACTGATCACCAGTACGAACCATTCCTACAATAACATTGTAATGAATATTTATATATAATATATCATTAATACCATCTCGTTGATCGCGCAAATGTTCGACCGAAGCGACAACGTCAATCTGACGAACACCTCGTAGCAGACGGTTACAAAGAAGATCAACGGCACAGTAAACTCCTGTACGTCCACATCCATCCAACGAATGAACAAGTAATGGTGATGATCGTCCACGATAGGATTTATTGACTTTTCTAGAAAAATAAATAAATAAGTAATTGAATATTCTCAATTATTGTTAAATCTTATTAAATTTGCATAAATTACATTTTGTACGCAAATGAGTGGTAGTGTAAAATGTAATTTTTTTCATTTGACGTAAAAACGTGAACGAAAATAACTTTTTTTTCTAATTCCTAGATTGTTATGACGAAGGAAGTGTTTGTAGGAGACGTGTAAAAGAAAATAAACAAATGACTGACGAACCTTCTGAATTCCAATAAGCTCTTAGCCGATGATGGAGTTGAATCCTTGGGCCAGTTAATATAATGGAATTGTGTGATTGTGCGTGTTTCATTATTTTGAAGATTCTTTAAATAGAATGATCGAACCATGTAATCTGAACTCCAAATATGTTCAGAAACCAAGTGAATCTATGATGTGTGAGCGGTATTGATAATATTATTCTGTTATATAATGATACCTCAAATGGTCCATGTAATTGACTTCCCTCTGCGGGCCAATAGTTTTTGTCTTGTCTGATTTCATCAGTGTCAGTTAAATTAACGATTAAGCAGACACCGTGTTGCCATATGGCTTGCCAGAACCCAACCATATCATCAGCTTGTGGTGTTTGAGCTGCCATATAGACAGGTTGTCTGCAAAAAATGCGAAATATTTCAATTTTCATTACATTTTTTTTCCATTTTCATTTTTTGGATCATGTTATTTGTCCAAATTACATCCAGGCTATAGCTAGATGCTTCTAACTATACGAATATAATATATTGAAGACAATAATTTGGAATATAACAAGTAAGTAGTGAAGCCTGTGAGAATAATCTCATCCTCATCTCCTTCGTGCACATTTAACAATTCAAAAGGAATATCTTACTTTGGATCATCATCATAGATGAAGCTGGCGTTTATATAAGCTGTTTCATTCTTCCAAGCTTCGATGGGAACCAAATTCTCATCAACTGCAAATATATTCAGCATAACATTGATATTATATGGGTTTTAAGCTTACATGGAATTATTGATCGATTTTTGTTTGTATATTGTGCTCCAATATTTTTTTCCTTCGTTAAATTACAGTATGTGTTAATGGAATCCCATTGAGCCTCCATGCGAGATGGATCAGCCAACATCTCTTGTAAGAAATTCTGAAATGAGAAAAAAAAATTTTTTTTTCTTGTCCTATTTTCATTGTTTCATTGTATTTTTCCATTTGAATGATTTGTTTCAGCTCAATTTCAGATATGAATAGTTGACAGAAAAAAAAATTGAAAAAGCAGCTGGTTGCAGCAGAGAGAGATGAGATGCAACAAAAGCATTCCTCAATAATTAACTATATCATATAATAAATATTTATACGAAAAAGCTTTTTTTTACTATCGTATATAAGCTTCATTGTGTGAGCTCATTTAACCACTCTTCCTCTATTTCTTTTTAACTATATGTAAATTGAACTGAAAATAAAAAAATACTTACCATGACAACATGTCCCGTGCCAATATCGATAGTTGGCTGTTGTGCTTCATCTCCACACCAGCTACTGGTTGAGCTGCTTTTACTGGCTCGGCCAGAATTTGGCTCTTGACCAACTCGTTGACGGCAGATGTCCTGTTGTTTTTCAATATAAATTTTAAAAAAAAGCCAATAAATAGCTTACTTGGTAGGTCAAGTTAGCTTTAGTGTCAAAGCTAGAAGCCATTTGCTTGATATTCTGATGATAATATCGTCGATTCTTATATAAATGAATCTGAATATAATATAAGACTGATGAAGATGTTTGAAATAAGGTAAAGCTTACAGAGAGAACTGAAATGAGAGCAGTAATCGTCAGACCGCAGACGATGAGGATTGGCTTGAAAATCCAGTCACGCTCAGCTGATTCTACGGGTACGGACTCCTGGAAGGAATGGAATGAGGAGGAAAAAAAAATTGTGGAATGGAAAAAACTAGAGGAAGAAGCTTTTAAGCAAATTATTGTATCATTCGTGTGATGTGAAATATATGGAAGAGAAAGAACGAGAGAGAGTGAAAGAGAGATTGAGATTGAGAGAGAGTAAGAGAAAGAGAAAGAGAAGGATGGACTGAGAGGTTAGATGAGTGGAAAAGAAATACTCAAAAAACTAACCGATCCGATTCCGATGCCAGTTTCAGCTACTTCAGCTCCAGAAAATCGAGCTATATCTTTTCGACGTTTGTCTGAAAATGGGGAAGAAAATAAATAAACAAAAATTTCTTTTTTTTTTCTTTCTTTTCTTCTATAGTCTATAGATGAAGCTGAATACGAATAATGACATGTTTACACATGATAATTTGAAATATGCAAATGAAAAAAGAGAGATGGAGAGAAGGAGAAAGCTCAAAAACTCACAAACAGCTTTGGCAACTCCTTCAACAGAATCAATTCGTTTGTCTTTTGGAGCTTTAACACCTTCTAATCGGTTGATTCTCATTGACAATTGACCCTGATCAAATCTGAATATGAATATTTGAATATTATGAAGCTTATATGTAATGAAGCTTACTGAAAATCGTCAAAGATAAGATTATTAGGTAAAGCAATAGTATTTTGAAGGAACTCGATCAATGGATACAGCTGCTGTTCAGCTTTTATGTTAACCTTAAACAGATGACTTAAGTATCAGCTTAATGTGCTTTATATGCTAATTGAGGAAAAAAATATTTTTTTTAAAAACAAACCTTTAAATAGACTCGATTGCCGACCACACGAGTTATTCCACTGTTACGTCCTTTAACTATCTTATGGACTGTATTATCCAAGCCCATTTCAACATTTCCAACTTCTTCAGCATCTTTCTTTAGTACTTGTTGCTGATCAGCTAATGCTGAGTTATCAAGTGTTATAGCTTCTTCAGCTTCTCCAACTATAATATATACATATTGATTGATGTTAATAAATTATTAAAGTTTCATTTTTAATAACAACACAACCGCTTACTATGCGTTTGTTTTCGGAAATGATCGTATCGTGAGTATTCATTCCTTTCTATTCACGTGAAAGACGTGGATACGTTACACGTCACTTTAAGATTTTGTAATTTCAACAAGCAGCTCGTTGATTTACGTGATTTTCCAAGTGAAATTTACATAAATGAGTTGGTTGTTGTGATGTGATGACGTGATAGCTTTTCGAAAAATGTTGAGAAAATGCGGGGGACACTGTCAGAGTTTGTTTTGTTAAACATGGAGAGAAAGCAAGAGAGAGAGAGAGGCAAAAGAGGTAGTCAGAGGGAGTAGTCAGATGGTGCAGTAGTAATAGGAGATGAGGAAGACGGAAAATAAAAAATTTATAAGAAGTTTGTCATTTTTTTTTTGCTTCAAACGCAATGTTTTCATTAATGACATCATGGAATGTGTTGAGTTTTCTATTTTTATGAAAAATGATGGTGATTGGTTGAAATGGAAAATCTTCTTTTCGGCTTCTTCTGACAGATGAGGATTTGACTTGATGAGTTCAGATGGTTAGTAGTGAGGGAGGATATGGACTATGGTCATGTATCTTTTGATATCCCCTTGACAGTGTCAGAAGTTCAACTGGGTGTTCTATATATATAAATGTTTAGAGAGAACTCTCATCAGTTTCTCAACTTCATGGAAGTTCCCTCAGGCTGTCGAAAAAAAAGTTCGAAATTACTGAAGTTTTTTTATAGCCAAAGACAATGATTGAATAGAGTGAAAACAAGCTTTTTACTGCAGCCATTTTTGGTTGCATTCTAAAGCTATATATAGTGGTTAGTATAGTTAAGACTTCATCTGCTTTAGGAGATTTGATTAACATACCTTCTTCAGGTTGCTCATCAGCTGATTCAGCTATACTTAAATTATCTTTTAATGTGAAGAGACGTGATATTAATTCATTAAGCTGACTATCTGACAGCTGTGATAGATCTGAATGAAGAGCATTGCTTGAAAGAGTTTTCAGATTGATCATCTGACCTGGATCTTCGTTTTTAACGATTTTTTCCATGTACTGTTCGACTGTTGGATCAATTGTATCGTCTTGATTAACATATTCTGTAACAGTTTGGTTATGAAGCTTCATCTTGAACTTCTCCTACCTTCAAGATCGATCTCTGGTAATGGCTCATTGAGTTGTTGAATGATCTGTTGAATCTCGTCTTCTGGAACTTCGTCGTCTGTTGGAACCAGAGGAACAAGCTGAAAGTAGAACAATTAGGCCACAGTTCAAATCATTGTTCTAACCATTTCAACTTCTTCAACTGCTGGTGCATCTCGATCATACTGAGATCTTTCATCACCAACTTCATCATCGAGAAGTAAAACTTGTTGTGGATTGACTTCATCTTCAACTGAGTTGTCTACATTTAAGCCCATACCAATCAACTGTAAAACGAAGATATTAGCAAAGCTTTCTATGATGTATCCTATACCTGTAATAATCCCCAGACTTTGGCTGGGTTATGAACTTGGCAGAAGTTCGGATCGTACAGAAGATCGTATGACATGGATAGCTTGTAATAAGCCAAAACACATTGTGTTTGCTCATCAGCCCACTCATTACCGGCTTTGTAAATTCTGAAATTCCATTTTTTTATATTCTTTGTTAATAATAAAATTTATTTTTCCCGTTCTTCTCCCACACATTGTTCTTTATGAGAGATTGTCTCACTTCAAAGCTCAATGGCTATTTGAAGAAACATTTTCCGTTTCAAAATCGAACTTGAGTTGCCTAAGGCGATTTCCACATCAATGAGTTTCTCATTTGGAGCATTTTTCTTTTTATTTGATCTTTTCCTCCTTCTCTTAAAGAATTGTTTCTTCATCTACGGATGTCGGAGAGAATAAGGTTCTTATAAAGAGAGTAGAAGAGAGAGAACGAGGGAGAGAGAGGAAGTGTGAAGGAAAAAGACATGAAGAGCCATCTTGTCTATTTCCGTCCGCCTGACAACAATATCGAATTCGTCAAATGACGTGAGTATTGCCGTCAGCACTGCAAAGACCAATTTCTCTTCCTCTCTCTCAACTTTTCCTTGTGCCTTTCCATTTCATTCCCTTGAAGGAAAAATGAAATTTAAGATTTAAAGTTCGGCTGTTCGTTTGCAAACCTTCGAAACCCCCCCCCCCTCTTCTGCTCTTCTTCGCTCTCATCATTGATTACTGTAATTATCTTGCTAATCTTCTACAAAAACAGGAAGATGCAGCTAGAATTCACTAAATTGCTTTGATTTTCCTAGTTTTATACTTCTTTTTTTTAGTTGAGCCCTTCCAAGACAAAATATATTCTGACGACACAAGTAGAAATCATTTGTTTCACTCAGAATATTTAAAGTTGTTAATGATGGAGGAGGAGGAGGAGGACACGTGCGAAATAGAAATTCATCATGTACTTTCCCTCTACAACTCTTACTCTCTCTCTCTACATCTTAAGATATTCTCTTTTACTTCCCATTTTTCTTCTCAAGACATTTCTCTATTTGCCAAGCCTCCTTTAAGGATTATGCAAAGATGGGTAGAGGCGGGTGGTGGCTTACCTTAACAACTCAAGGCGAAGAAGCTCAAGTTGAGCTTCATCCAGCTCTGTTAAAACAGTTGGTTCTGGGACACCATAGACAGGTGAAAAACATTGTCCGAAAACTCCATCTGAAGCAGTAAAAGGGTAAAAAATTGAATTAAAAATAAAATTTAAAATGATTCTGTGAAGGATATGAATGCATACGAAGTTGTACTTAAATAAGTTTTTTTTAGAAGTCAAAATAAATATTTTTTTCTGCCCGCGCTTTTTTAAAGGCCACAAGTGAAATATTTATAAAGCTTGACTAAGCTTCTTCCTATTTTGTACTTGACTCAAGCACAATTTGAATTCCAAATAAAGACATTGACTGTCCTCAACACCATATAACATACCTGGATAACAGGTTTCATTTTCTTCGCATAGATTGTCGGTGAGTGTGCAGCCTGCAAAAAATAAAAAATAAATTATCAGAAAAACAGTATTTAAATCTATTTCATCTTTATATTATTAAAAAATAGCTGGAAAGCTTATGCTCTAAGCTTTAGCAGCCCATAAACATTCATTTTCAAGTCCCCTCTCATCAAATTGTTTGAAAAAGAAACTTCGGGTAAAGAATGGCTGAGAAAATGCTTTTGACAAAAGTCTTTTTGAGGATTATGAAGAATGGGAAATGATTTAAAGGATGAGAAGCTTATACTTGCGTAAGAAAAATGCATTTTCCCTCTTTTAATTTTGACAGAGAGAGATATAGAGAGAGAGATCGAGAGATAAAGAGGTAAAGAGAGAAATAAGATAGAGAGAGAATAGAGATCACAATCCCTGTTTGTTTTTTTCTCACATCCTCTATCTGTGATTGATGTTTCGGAAAAAGGAAAAGGTGAAAAATATGAATGTCTTAACCATACTATTTATGCCACATAGATTGAAACATTGCCAAACTTTCAAATGCCAATAACATATTATATGCTAATGAGAGTTGCAAGCGTTTTTTAACTCAATATAGCCTACGGCAATTGGCTTCCAAAAAAAACCTTTCACCCCTGCCTCCCTCCCTTCTGGTCTTTTTTTCTCAGAAATTTGCGGTCATCACTTCCAATACTTGAGCAGAATGAAGTAGAGAGACAAAATTCGTTAAAAATTAGCATAAATTATCATTACACATAGTTAATATGGTTAATTGAAATGTAATCATTCATTATGCCTACTTATGCATATTGATCAGAATTATTTTGGAGGCACAAGTTCGTGCAATTGTTTTATGGAGGCGACACAAGTCAGATCGTTAACCATATACCATATACTATACTATGATGTGTATGTATATGTATAGTTAATATATAAAAATTATATTTTTTTATTTTATTGACGTCATATCCAAAAACACCAAACACCCCAAATGCGTATATGTATACAGATATGTGGTCTCGTAGCAGCTTTTATTCTTCCCCAGAGCCTTTAAGTTTATCGGATGGTACGATCCTGATATACCAAACAGAAGGATAATTAACTATATCATATAGTTAAAAGTTCATCAGATGATCAAATAAAAAAAAATAAATAATGTATGGATGAGAATTAATTTAAATAAATTGTATTTCATGACTTTTTCATGTTGTTCAAGACTATATTTGGGTCGTCAAAAGCATATTGCCGGCTGTTTCAGACTTTTCTTAGAAACTTGAGAGACCAAAATGGAAAATTTTGTTCTTTTCGTTTCTCCTTGTAATATATCTTGCTTCTACCATCTTATGTTATTGATAACAACATAAAGCAGGAGATGAAGCTGGAAGATGTTGCAGCTTAAGTTGGTAACTTGAAGAGAAACATTTATTCCAAATTTAGAATAAAATAATCTTTGATCAGTTAAAAAGAAGATGAAGTTAAAGGACAGAATAAATCAATTCGTTTTCGTTGTTTTCCAATCGAAAAACTTTCTCTTCTTCTCGTCTCTCAATAAACTCACAAAATGTGAAACCACAAAGAGAAAGAGAGAGAGAGATGGAAAGTGAGCAAAAAAATGAAATCATTATTGCATCATGAAGCTTTCGATTAGGAGAAAAGCTTCATGTTTCACATCAACATTTACTGACGTCAAACATCTGCTTCTTCAGTCTTTTTTTGCTTCTCCCATTTCCCGGTTTTCATCATCTGATTATCAGAATTTTAAATGACTCTCACCAAAAACAGCTCCGTATATAACAAGCTTGAGAGATTACATAAAGGCTGAAGACGTTGTGCTTTGCGAATGGCAAGCCAATTAAGCTCATTTTGTATTTGGTAAATATAGAAGTGGAAATCTCAATTGAATTCACTATGATATAGGAATTTCATAACTTTTCCTTTTTTATTGCCGTCAACTGTACGATTAGCCATAAGTAGGCGAAGAGATGTGGGAGGAGAAGGGGTGGAAGGCAAAGGAGTAAGAGAGTATGAAAGAGAATAAACTGACTCAAAGAGAGAAAGTAAGACAGAGAGAGGACGAATGCGATAGATAACAGAAGAACTTTCAAGAAAAATGAGATTGAAAGAGAGAGAGAGAGAGAAAGATGGAGAAAAACGTAAAAAAATCGTTGTCGACGACGTGTTGGACATCAGACAAGCTTCTTGACAACCAACAAACAACAACAACATGAAGCACAAGCAGAAGCTAATCGTAAATTTCGAGTCAAATAGGAAAAAGCTATCGCCGATGCATTTTAAATCGTAAAAAAAGTGTGAAAAGAAGAAGTCATTAAGCTCAATATGCATATATGGATATATAGAAGTTTCATGAATGATCTCCATTTCTGTCTTCCTCTCTTTCTTCATTACTCCCTCATTCTCCGTAAAATATGAAAACATGAAGTAGAAGTATGAAATGCCTGAGGGCATTATTGGCTATTCTTCTAACATTACATTCATGAAATTGTAATATTATTCTTCTTTAAATAATTTTTTCTTCATCTTCATCTTCTTCGTCTTCCTTTTTGGGCTGTTAAAATGCAGCGAATGCAACCGTTTTGCAATTGATATGAATGTAAGCATGAATTCCATTCACATTCCCTTCCTTTTCCTCTACCTCCTTCAATTCTAGTGCCACGTGAATTTCCACGCAGCCATTCACGTAAATCAATGTGATTCAGAATATGCAAATAAGCTGATAGCAAGCAGTTGTTGTGGTCCTCCTTCTGCTGTTGCTATTGCTGTTGCTGCTGCTATACCAAACATGTTTCATGTTCACATAACTTTATATAGTTTATAAGAAAAATAAAGAAGAAAAGAAAGCTTTTTTTTCTTTATTTTATGAAGTCAATTGGCCCGCCGGGCTAATTTACGAAATTGTTGTTTGGCGACGACGACAACTATGAAGATGACGACAACGACGATGGATGGATGGATGGTTTGATTGCAGCCCGATTTCATCGAACTTGTTCCATTTTTGGAGCAAAAAAAAAAATGAAAAAGAGAAATTGAAAAAAAGAAATCCCCCCCCCCTTTTTTGGTGATTTTGAATATCAAAAATCTTTGGCAAATAAAAAAGAATATTATCGAGGGAATAGGAAGAATCAAACATGATAGAGGGTGTGAGAGGACTTTCTGAGGGAGAGAGAAACAGAGAGAGGGAGGAAGAGACGTTTCTCAGATTGGCTACAAAATGATCTACAGATAGAGAGAGAGAGAGAGGGAGATGCTTATATATAGAGAGAGAGATTCAGAGAAAGAATAGTTTATTCATCTAATATTAATTCAATTAGTTTATTATTCCCATCTAGTTTGTACCCTGTGAATAGATGGGAGAGAGGTTATTCTAATTAAATAAATATTATTTCAGTTATCTTTCTACTTTCATTCCCTCCACCCCCCATTCCTTCTCTCCATTCTCAAACTTCATCATCATCATCATCATCATCATGGCTTGATGAAAAGATGAAATATGGAAAAAGGCTTATAAACACCAAAAACCGATTGTCTCGTCACTAATATACTGTTGATCAGCTTATTGTGTACATCAAATATCAGATGGAATGTTAGATGATAATGGATATGTTAATATGGAGATGCAAATCTCACCAATGGCATGTAATGAAGAGGAATGAGAATGAAAAAAAGAATTTATTTTTCTTTTTGTTTTTGTTCCCTTTCTTCTGGGCTTCATTTCCAATATTTAAGCTTAGCAGCTGTTAATGTTGTCGTGAGCGACGTCGTCATTTTTCGCTGACGACGTCGCAGAACGAATCTCTCCGTTCCTACTCCTACCCCCCCCCCTTCATCCTTTCTCTCTCTCCTTCTCACTCACTTCTGAATGTCCGAGAGATGTATAATATAAATATACTATATATGGAAAAAAAAGGCGAAAACAACTCCATATAATGTAAGAATCAGCTTGGAGAGAAAGTCATTGGCGAACATAAATTAAATGCTGAAACTCATCAACTAACATCACTCATAAATACTATTATAACCCCTCAAGGGCTATTTGTTTATGGCCGAAAGCTTAATGTCATTTATATTGTGTCATTGATGGCAATTGGTCACCTCTAGTAGTTTGAGTATCGTGAATGTATTGACAAGCTACTTCATTCACTGAATTAGCCCTCATAGCATTTCAGTTTTGAAAAAAATTCTTTTTTTTCCTCTTGTTCACACTAAATGCTCAAAGCTGTATTGTGATGAAGCAAGATGTTTCAACTTGAAAATTCTACTTGTTAATTGACAGTAGTAGGGCAAGAAATGTATTTTGAACAAACGCACTGTTATGAAGTTTTCTTATAAACTTGCTTGTACGTACTTGAAGATGGAACTATTAGAGACAAAGAGATAATGAGAGAGTATTAAATGTAAAGAATTTCAAAGAGTTATAGAAAGAGAGTGAAGAGAGTGAAGAGAGTGTATTGAGAGAGAGAGAGAAAGAGAGATCAGAGGGGACATAAAAGACATTCAGGTATGCCCTAAACGCTATAAAAGGATCCCATAAAAGTTCAGATGTTATTTCATTACATGTTGTTATCTCATGGGGTCTTGATGAAGGAACAAGCTTAAGGATGCTCAAAATAGAAAAGCAAAAAAGGAGCTTTAAGCTTAAAAAGGAATAAATTATGGAATCACAAGAGTATGAGTTATCTCTTCTTCTGCTACTCAACAATGAATTGAAACACAAAAAAGTAATTTTCTATATGATGTTGTTGTTGTATAACATTCATATCATAAGCTTGTCCCATTAAAAGCTTCAACTAGGCTTATATCCTTTTGTCGTCTTTCCTTTTTCTTATTCTGTTTCCTTTTTCGGAGGTCATATTCAATGAAAACAAAAATACTTGAATAAGTTATCATTAGCATTTGAGACTAATTAGCATATTTGAGATGCTCAGCATAAGGCTCAAACACCTTCTAATGCTTCATAGATGCTGTGTATATAGGAGGGCTTGTCTGTATGATCTTCTTTCCTTTTGTCTAGCAGTCGTAT